AGACCCTTCCCAGAGGGCTTTATAATCTAGTGAGGAGCATCATACAGGCAGTCAAGCAGAAGCTACGCCACAGAACGGTAAGACATGCCAGCCTCATTATGATCATCCTAGATTCGAGTGTTTACTTTGGCTGTTTCCAACAAACGACAGGAAGGGCCTTAAGGAAGGGATGCCTGTCAGAATCCACACAGAGATACCTTTTGGACTAGCTGTGACCTGGGTAACAGTCACACACTGATGGTTGTGATATAATGTGCTATGGCAATGATGCTATTTCCGCCAGAAGAACGCAATAGGAAAAGCACCAAATTCAGATGGGAGGACCCAGAAGGTTATCTGGAAGAGGAGAGCCAATTTTTGAAGGACAAGTAGGAGCAAGCTAGGAAATTAAGAGTCCAGAGGCTGTGCTAAGCAAGAGATGACGCAAGCAAAGATGCAGAAACTGGAAAAAGCAGAGATTCATCTAGATCACTGAGGGTCAGTAAAGATGAGCACTGGTGAGAGATGGGGCAGGAGGAGTTAGCAGAGACGGAACAGAGGGACTTACATGTGACTTACACATGCAGTGCAGCACTGAAGAGCTTGGACTTGATCCCAGATGCAGTAGGGAGCAATCAATCACTTTTAAAATAATATCATTCTTTTCTTTATTAAATATATTTAACAGATAAAAATCGCCCACAACCACAACCCACTGATCTGACCAGTCTGGACAAACACTTAACACTTAACATTTTGCTGCATTTCTGTGTGTGTGTGTGTGTGTGTGTGTGCACATGCATGCACATATGTGTGTGTCTTATATTAATGTTTTTTAAACAGAGAAGTGTTATAATCAGATTTTCACTTTAGCTCAATGGTTTTTAACAAGGGCAATTTTTGTGCTCTGAAGAACATTCAGCAATGACTGACATTTTTGGTCTTCATAGGTGAATTGTCAATAGGGGTCAGCAATGCTGCCAAACATCCTACAATACACACGAATGAAGGAAGAAAGGAAAGGAGGGAGGAAAGGGAGAAGAGGGGAGGGAAGAGGAGTGGAGGGGAGGGGAGGGGAAGGAGAGGGAGAGGAGAGGAGAGGGGAAAAAAGATGCCAATAGTACTGAGACTAAGAAACTTTGGTCCAGCTGTAGCACAAAGAATAGAGTAGAAGGGGCAAAATTAGACTCAGAGAGACCAGGTAAGATACCACTGAGAAAGGAAAGACCAAAAGGACCAGATCTGTGCAAGATTTACAGTAAGGAATCATGAGAACCTAGTTATTAGATGTGCAGGCTAAGAAAGAAAGAGATCAATTTTCTACAGTCCGCTGTAGGAAGCCAGGTAGATGATTGTGAATGTAAGAGGAAGATCAGGTGTGGTGAGGAGAAGAGTGATGGCATTCATTTATTCAACAAAAACTGCACACAAATACCACGTGCAGCACAAGGACAAAACTGACAGTCCTTGCCTTTACAACCTTTGTCTTGTGAGGATAACAAAAAGAAATAGGGAAACATGAAGAATGGTGTAGCAATGGAAAGACCCATGCTGATGGAGCATCATGGATCTTAGACTAAGTCCTGAATGTCCTGGAGAAAGTGACATTTACATGATTCTTCAAGCATAAGATAGTTATCCAGGCAAAGAGCTGGTAGGAATCTGTTCCAGACAAGGGAACACTATGTGCAGAGGCTCAGATGTCTACTAAATTCCCTCTGGCAGAAGAGACGTAGGCAGGTGAGCTTATGAGGCTGTGAAGTATAGAGGGACTAGATGATGAGAATCTAATGAATGCACATAACTAATGAATGCACAGAAGAAGCTCAGCTTTTACCCAAGAGCAAAAGGAAGTCTGCAGAGAAGTGGCATGGTCCAATTTGTACTGATACTCTGGCTAGAGTTTACAGAATGGATTGGAACCAAACCTGGATTCAGAAGGACAATTAAAGGGCTATTGCAATAATAGCAATTATTATTATAAAAAAAACAAGATAAATGTTGTTACTAGAGTAGAGGCAGAGAGATGTGGAGCTGAGGATGGATTTCTGAGTGTGAGTCATCAGGATTTGTTTACTGGATAGGAAGGAGTGGGAATGGAAGTAGGACGTGGAGTCTGTTTTGGACTTGGAGGGTCCGACTTGCCTGTGGTCATCCAGATGGTGCTCCTTAGTGGTTAAAGTGTGCTCCGTCAACACTTGGGGGGAAAAAACACTCAGAGTTCTGATTAGAATAGTCTTGAGCTGTGAATGGGATCTACAAAGAAGAGAGAATAATTCTGGAAAAAAGAGAGAATTGAGGTAGAATTAATTTGAGTTCAGGGTACAGATACCTATGAGAAGTAGAGTGTGGACTAAGAAGGGTTGCCTAGGGGACTCACCAGATAAAAGAAAAGCTTTGTGTTAAGATTTTAGATACCCAGATAGTGGGGAAGCAAAGATTCAGAAGCTCATGGTTCAAGGCCAGCCCAGGTAAAAAGTTAGCAAAACAAGCCTGTAATCCCAGCTACTCAAGAGGTATGGATAGGAGGACCATTGCTCGAGGTTGGTTCTGGGCAAAAAGCTCGAGACCCTATCTGAAAAATAACTAAAGTTAAAAAAGGGCTGGGGGTGTGGCTCAAGTAGTAGAGGACCTGTCTAACAAGCACGAGGTCCTGATTTCAAACCCCAGTACCACCAAAAACAAAGTTTTTTGGATACTACCTTGTAAGATTTTTAGGCAGGGAATTGAAAAGATCTTCATATTTTACATTGATCTCTTGATATGTGAAGGATGGAGGGGAGTCCAGAAGAGAAACTATGGAAGTTTAGTGTCAGGAGGAATGATTGGAGATGGAGAAGTGGAAATATTTGTGAGAGCTCTCTAAACACAGCATCCATAGTACTTGGGAATAAATGCAGGCGATGAGCTCTGTTTGTATCTCTTGACATGGCCAAGTCCAGAGGACTTTTACCGGCATAGTCTTCATGACACCATTAATGCTTTTATTCACTCTTCAGGTGGAAGCTATTCTTATAAGAAACACAAATTAGTCTACAATCATAACATCCTGAATGTGCCCAATCTCATCTAATCTTAGAAGCCAAGCCTGGTTAGTACTTGGATGGGAGGAATACAAATTAGTTTGTGGCAGGCCTGGATGGGTGCAGAGACTGGGTTTCCAAGGCAACTGGAAGTTCCCCTCTTACCAAAGTCCATAAAAGCACAACCACACAAGGATGAATGCACATCATTTCACTCACTGCACGCCCTTGCACTTGGTGGCACTGTGTCCCAACTGTGATCCAGGTATCCTCCGGTTCTTTAGCTGCATCTTCTACACACTTGGCACTCTCAGAACCCTGCCTTATTGCCTTTACTCCAAATCAAATGGGGGCCTGGTGAGCTAGTGAGATTGGGGCTGGGGAGTACTGTGAGAGGTGTAACCCACCAGGGATCTGGAAAGACCCTGCACAATCTGACATCTGCTCTTGGCCCCAGACAAACTGAATTCCTTGCTGGTTCCCACCCACCCCTGTGATGTTCATCTCCAAGCCTTTGCTCAAGCTGGTCTTTTGCCTCTGTACCAGTTCTCTGCTGCCTTCTCCCTACTGCCTTCCCTGTGCACCCCCAGGAAGTGCTTGCTGGCCCTCTTCACGTTTTACTTTTCAGCACGTCTTACTTTATCTCTTTATTGTCCTCATCAAGTCTTGGATTATATTTTGGCTTGTTTTGTATCTAATCTTTCCTATTGGTAAAGGCTTTCAAAAATAAATAAATAAATAAAACCAGGGTCCCCATCTCAATCATACTTGTTTCCTGTAAAACCTTAAAAGAGTACACAGCATGTAGGAGGAATACAGTCACAATAAATGCAGTCTCAGTAAATGTATATAGGAAGGAAGAATAAAAATGCAAGCATCCCTAATCCAAAATCCCAAATCTAGAACTTTTTGAGAGTTGACATGACAAGTGGAAAATTCCACACCTGACTTTATGCTATCAAAACGCTGGTGCACTAAAATTATTGTGTAAATTGACCTTCAGGCATATGCATTAGGTGTATAGAAACATAAATGAGCCTCATGTTTTTATGGGTCCCAACCCCAGGGTATCTCATTAGGTATATGCAAAATAGTCCAAGATAAAAAAGAATGTAATCCAAAATACTTCTGATCGTAAGCATTTCAGATAAGGAATACCCAACCTGTGTTTAACGCCCAGATGAAATTAATAAAGCTAGTATTTCAGAGTAATATGAAAAAAAATTAATTTTAATTTGTTTAAAATCTGAGATAAACTATGAAATAGATATCTTTAAAATATAAAATTATTTGGTCCCAGGCTTTATGCTCAATTTTCACGAGCAATGAAGCAGCTAGGAGTTTGAATGAAGGGTACAGCTGTGCCTGGCCACTTTGGACCGTTTGCTTTTTAAATGATTCTCCTATAGATTATGTCTGGTTCTCACTTAGTTGATCTTTAAAATAAAAATGTGCAGAAACAGAAAATGTTTGGATTTGCACAGAGTCAGTGTATCATACTGGTTAAGGAAGGCTCTGAATTCAGACAGCTTACGCCTGATCCCCAGCCCAGCCACTGTGTTCCTTGAGCCATGGATTCTAACTTTCCTGAAGCTCCATCTTACAGCGTGTACGTGTGGAGAGCGGTCATAATGTCAACCTCAAGGGAATGAAGAATCTAAATGAGTTACCAACACGGAGCATGACAGTGCCTGTCATAATAAACATCAACAGATGTAACCATTTTGTTATTATGTTTTTATGCTGTGTTTAAACATAAATCCATTATTATATAACATTTTCTTGGTTACTTAAGTGGCAAAGATGCAAACTTTGATTCTAAGCAATCATAGGAAAAGGACCTGAGATTTTGTCTAACAATGCACTAACCAAGAAATAACTTTCTACAATGTATTAGAAATCTTAAGGTATCAAGATACATTGATAAGTGTGTTGCTGATTTTTCCTCCTGGTAAAAGTTAGGCCCTTCAAAGAAATTATCTCAAATTCTTTCCACAGGTGTGATGGCTGTGGATCTCCTGTGTCTGTGAGGAGAACGACAGTGGTAAGTAGCCAGAGAACTAAAGGTTACATTAAGAAATTCAGACTTTCTGCAATCCCGGGTTGGCTACCTATTTGAATAGAATTCCTTTTGGCTCAGCTTTAAATTTACTCTAGGAGCATATATTGCTCCTCAAAAGTTCAGTTTCCCAGTTGTGGCTGATTTCCAGTTGGCTCTGGTATTAGAAGATTCAGTCAATAGGCTGTGCCAGGCAGGAGTGAGGCCATTGTGTTTCTACTCACACCACTGGTGGTAGGTATCTCTGATGTTTTCTATTTGTCACTCCTGTATATCCCCAAACAGCTGGACAGAGGACCAGGCAAGAGGCAGCCGCAGCCAGTTCTACACACTGGTGGGGTCTCGACTGGACCCTTTCTGGGGTCATATCATTTATATACAAAGAGGAAAACAGTGAGATGGAGGTGCTCTTGGCTGGAACAAGCTCACACGGGATGACCCGCGTGATCCTCACTCCACCAAAGGTGTAAATTTAAATTTACCACGGTGCTCATGTGCTCATGTGAGAGAGAAGCTCTAAGTTTTCTGTTTCAGCTTTTATGACTCAGGAAAGTGCCTCTGTCTTTCTATGTAACTAATGTACTTTGGAAATGAAGACACACTTTTGGGAGGAGTATAAAAGGACAGGAGGACAGTAGAGGCACTTTTTGGTTTATTGTAGCCTTCGAACTAGTATCCTTTTCCCTTCCTCCCTCTTTCTCTCTTATACAAAGCACAGAGTAGAATTATGGTGAGGAGTGCATATCAAAAACAAAAGTGAACCTCTAGTCTTCTTCACAGTAGTGCTACTTCTGGATAATAACACCAAACCTTATTTCTCTCTTCTAAATGCTTCAGCCCCAATCACAACAGCAGCACCAACTGCTGTACTCTAATGAACGATGTGTCACTGTATGTGACACAGACCATTTCATTTAATACCCAGAGAAAATCTGTTGACTCAGTATTATCATTTACCCATTTTAAAGATGAAAAAACTGAGGTTTAGATAATTTAAAAATCATGTTCAAGATCTAACTGGTAAATGATGGAGATAGGATTGGAAAATCCAGGTCTCTGGAACTTTACAGCCAAAAATGTCAATTCTGCCTACAGCTAGTGAGCCCTGAAGCTCTGTTTGCATATGGTCCCCAGTTCACTGCTACCTACAGAGGCTTTCTTGTAACTGAGCATTGGACTGAAGTGCATGTCCTCTGGATCTAGCTCTGCTTTTTAAGAAGATGGAGCCCTAGTCCAGTATGCTTCTGCATTCTCAAATTTTCCTGGAGAAGTACTCAGACTCACCCTCCTCTGTTGTTTGAGTGATGTGGGATCTGAAGTGGATATAGAATTTATATAAAGAGAAATATAAATATCTAGAAAGTATAAAATGGTAAGGCTAATTAGGCATTCTTGGAATTTGAAAATCCTATCTGTGGATCAATATGTTTTGTTTTTTGACTGCTCACTTTCACTGAACTGTTTCCTAGTCAGAGCATGTCAACCTAAAAGGGAAGAGGTGGGAAAATAAGGGCCTCCAGCCAGGGATGGTTCCTCTCAGTTAACACCTATTGTAAAACTAGGAGAGAGAAAATAATGAAAGTCTGTCTCAAACAACGGTTCCGTGTCACTTGTGGACGTCCATTATTTAGTCACAGAAGCCCTGCTCCTTAGCCCACAGTGCATTGGGAGTTGACTGTTGACGTCATGGAGTTTCCTGCCAAGGCTGAGGTGATGAAGTTCCCCTCACTGGGTTGCAGGCAGGTAGGAATGGTACAAAGGAATTCCAGTATTTGATGTGAGGTTTACTACAGTGTTGAATGGCCTTCCCCTCAGAAGAGAAGTCGATATTTAAACATTTGCACAAGCTTAAAGGAAGAAAAATGTTTCAGAAAAATTGAACTTTTGGAGCTAGATAGAAGCCTAGAGGTCATCTAGCTCAGGGTTTCTCTCCACCTCAGCACTGTGGACATTTTGGGTTGAATGACTCGTTGGAGGTGTCTTGTGTACCATAGATGTTCAGCAACACCCCTGGCCTCTACTAACTGGATGCCAGTATCTCTCCTTCATCTGTTGTGATAATCAAAGATGTCTCCAGACATTGCCAGACGTTCCCTGTGGAACAAGAAGTCTTTACTTAAGAACTGTGTCTTTACAAGAGAGGAATCCAAAATCAAACTCTACTTTTAAGAATAGAGACAAGCCTGGTACCAGGGCACATGCCTGTAATCCTAGCTGCTCAGGAGGCAGAGATCAGGAGGATCACAGTTTGAAGCCAGCCCAGGCAAATAGTTCGTGAGACCCTATCTTGAAAATACTCAATCACTAAAAGGGCTGGTGGAGTGGCCCTGAGTTCAAGCCCCAGTACCAATAAATAAATAAATAAATAAATAAATAAAAAGAATAGAGACAAAATTTATGGCCTAGAATACTTGTCACTCCTTATCTCTGAGCAAATTCTGGGTGACCCTAGTACCACCAGCTCTGTACTCCTGGGAACATACCTCCAACCTGGCATTTACTATGCTGGGCCTGTGTGAGCTCCCATACACAGTGACAATGTCACTCTCACCTATGTATCCCCCCTAATTGACACAACCTGTGCATTCGGTAACTGAAAGAGGAGATGAGTAAGTGGTTTTAAGCTGCAGAGTACATTGGTGGGTGTGACCTATGCAGGAAAACAGACAGAACAAATTCAGGAGCTCCTTGAAAAATTAACTTGTTGACTTTGTGAAGGCATCTGATAATATCAGTGAGCTTCAGTTTCAGCCCCGACAGCCGTTCTGCAGGTTTGGCTGCTCTGGGAAGTTCCCAGCTATTCTAAGGTTACTCTGTGACAGAAGGTTTGTTTGTCTGATCATGTCAGCATTGCGGACAATATCACTAAAGGGAATTGCAGTTGTGTAAAAGGCTGTATTTTACTCAGTAGAGAATGTAACTGAGATTTTTGAAAGCCAGCATTTTGGCCTCTGAGGTGTCCTATGGGACACCTTTCTAGCTCATTGAGCTGTAAGTCCCAGCAGGAGTCCTCCAGGAAATTCTCTGTAACTCCAAAGAGCAGTACTAGGTCATAGCCCAACTGTTGTAACAGAATGGTAACAGCCGATAGCACTACTGTTGCAGTAGAACAGGGAGCCGACCAGGACTCACTAAGTGCTCGGCACCATTCTAAGTGGTTTCACAGCTGGTAAGTCATTTCATCCTCACAGCAACCAGAGAGGTAGGTGGTGTTTTGTTATTTTCATTTTACCAAGAAAGAAACTAAGGTACAGGGAGGTTAAGTAATATAGCTATGAATGGGCAGAGAAAGGATTAGAAATATAGAGAGCCCATGTGTTTAACCACTCAATTTCTGCTATAATCTTCGCTAGAAACCTTCTGTACATAGTTTTCTACCTTCATACAACATAAGTCACTTCCTAAGTATGTGGAAAGTATCACACCATCTGCAGTGGAGGGCATGGAATATGTTCTCTCAGAAAGATTGCCTTCTAACTGAAGACACACATTAGTAAAATAACAGTAAAAACCACCAGAGTGGGAAGGACAGGGTTAGGGATCAGATCTGATGAATATGAGTAACCAGTGCCACCATGTATTATTTGTGTGGTGTAAGTAAGCCACTTGTCTGAATAGAAAATGTTTTAGAGAAGTCAGAAGAGTAAATTATTGTGGGAAGAGATAGATTTGGAGCTAATCCATCTCTTACTTGCTAGATGCCATGGTAGGTGCTTTCTTGGTTGCTTTAGAGCTTGGTCCACTTCCAGTGTCCTGATTCATTTGTATTTGAAATCTTTAGTTTCCTAAGTCAGAGAGGAGACTGAAATTTGTGGTAGGGAGGAAGGAAAGCTAGTGATAGACTAAAAGTGGAAACTTTGAACATGACGTAGTAGGTACAGTTCCAGTGGTCCATAAAAAATAAAGTGGGAATGAATTCTGCCTGTCACAGAGATGGTAATATGTGACCTGAAATCTGAAGGATGAGTTGCTACTTTCCGGGAGAAGAAATAGGGAAAGAGCAAACTTCAGGAGCCAAGGCATGGAGGCCTACACATGCATGGCATTATGGGGAACTGTGGTGTGCCGCAAAGAGGTGTTTGGACCTCATCTTCTAGGCCAGGAATGGAAACTAGGCTTTAATGTTTAGGTCAACTTCACAGCATAGAGCTTTATTTAGAGGGAGAGTCTGAGTCCACATCTGAGCCCTGACTGACGACCAGTGTCTGCTCTGGATTACTGGGAACTTCAGGTGCTTCCAGGTGTGCTAAGATAAAACTGGCTGCAAAGAATGCCTACTGCCAGGATGTAGTGTGGCTAAACCAAGACCTGAGGAGTGTTACTAGGAGTTGTGAGCAGATTCGGCCTGGGCTCTGGAATCTGACAGCCTGGGAATCTATCCTCTCCTTCCTCCAGTGTGACTGAGCAAATGACCTGACCTCTTGAAACCTCAGTTTTCTCAAAGGAGGGACAATAATTGAGACTCATAGGGTTGTTAAAATAATAAAGTAATCTACTCAAAGCTCTTGGCAGATCATATACAATAATCAATGTTTAGCTGCTGTTAAGAAAAAAAATATTAATAATATCCCATACATCATTCAAATAAAAGCTAGGCATCTACAAAACAGTGATAATGTTCAATCTCCTTTTTGTCCAATACCTGCCATTAGTTAGCAGTCACATTTTTAAAGTTTTATCACTAAAAAGAATCCTGGCGGAGTTAAAACTGGAAACAAAGGCTTGATACTTTTTCTTAGTTAGCCTTGTAATTTACATGTCTGTGATGTGTTGAAAGAATCCTGAATATATTGAGAGGAGAAGGGACATCTCAAAGTAGAGGATCTGTGCAGAAATATAACCAAAGGAAGTCAGGTCTCTACATGGATGTGGTCCTTCCCAGCCTAAAGAGGTCCATCTCGTCCCTTGAGCCCCTGGGTCACATGCTTTCTATTTCACTGTAAATTTTCAGGATGTGATCCAGGAGGCATGGAGGACTGGACTCTGGTCTCCATAGGGGAAATTTGAAGTTTGTTAGGGTGATAAATGGCTGAGGGACAATACTTGGTAGTCTCTCAATCAGATATGGCTATTCTGCACCAACTACCAAAGCTGCAGATTTGGAGGAAAGAACAGACTTATAAAATCCAGGACTAATTGTTGTTATCACAAATAAAGAATTGGAGAGACATTAGGAACAAAAGACAACATCTTGATATACTTTCAGAGAAAGAATTAACTCTAACTGATCTGATTTTTCCAAGCAATTAGTTTGAGGTTTTTTTATCCCTGATGGGTATCTCACTATAGTTATGTTTTGGTTGCACACTTTACTTCTGAATTTCATATTAAGGTGATAAATTGTAGCCAGTAATCAATAAATTATTTTGGTTCCACTATGTATTTACCTCTGAATTTATATTAGGGTGATAAATTATATCCAATAATTAATAAATTATTAATAAATCCCCTTTGTAAGTATTCGATTGTAGCCTGCCCGTAGAGCTGAACACCACAAATCAATGACAACCAATTGAAGACTGTAGGAATTATGAGCAGCTGGGCTTCCGGCCTGCAATAAATAAATGAATGTAAACATTGCAGCTTTGGGAAGATGCAACAGGAGATGGAATGCAGTAAGGACTGACATGGAAAGAGGTCACTTAGGGAGGAGAGGGGCTCCAGAAGCAAGGACTGGGTAGCTGCGTGAACTGACAGTAGAAACTGGAAAGGAAAGTGGCACAAGCCTTGTCCAGGGGTCAGTGTAGGCTGCAAAGAAGTGGAGTGACCAGTCACAGAGTCACATTGACAGAGGAAATGCAAATGGAGTTTTGGCACAAGAAAGTGAAGGTGTGGGCGTGGATAATTCTTCCAAGGTTAGGCAGACAAATTGAGCTTGAAAGTAAGGCAGTGATCGATCGGATTCATGAAATCAAGATTTTAAAAAAAGGGAAAACAACTTCAACTGTATGTCAGTCTCCTAAATCCTTCAAACTAGCAATAGTCTAAAAATTATAAGATGTTTCTCAGTGCGTTTTTTTCAAAATCACTAAGTCAGCAACTCAAGGCTGTCTAGGAGATAAATGACTTCTGAATAGAAGCATTGTTTTCCCATAAATCCATGAAGTTCACACGTCTTAACATCCACTGTGAACCTGCTCTTGGTAGAATATGCACAATGTTAGGAAATCCAAAAACCCAGCCAGCAGAGCTGTTGGGGACAATACTTCCAACTTGAAAGGAATTAGTTTCTTTCCAGATTGCCAGAAAGCATCTTGATATACTTTAAGGTGAAAGAATTAACCTTAACTGATCTGATTTTTCAAGCAATTATTGTTTTGAGGTTTTATTATCTCTAACTGTTAAGTAAGTTTTGATAGTTAAGTTTGATTCTATTATTTGTTTATGTCTGAATTTCATATTCATGCCATAAATTATATCCAATTACTCCTAAATTATATAGGAGCCTTTCTTCCTCATTAATAAATGCCACAAGGCGTGTGTAAGTCTGGGTAAGCGCACAGGAAATTTTGGCAGGGGGACGCTCAGTATTTTACCTGAACACTTGCAATTAATTAAAAGAATTAAAAATAAATGTATATACAGGGAAGTTCATGACTGGTTGCAAATGGCAAAAACAACAGTGTTATTGTAAGTTGAGACATAAATGTTAGGAAAATTGATTTGTAGTCCTTGGATTGGGACTTTTAAGTTTATGACGTCTTTGTGGGAACATGTGAGTATTTAAGTTGGAAAAAGTCCAGAAATAATATTATGTTTTTTACTTTAAAAATAGCAGGAGAAAACATATACTTCAAGTTTGGAAAGTCAACCAGTTGACAGTGCATTTGTCCCCAGGCCAGGAATCATGATGGAGGAGAGCGGCATGCCTCCCCCCTGGGATGCCCCGACACTGGAAAACGAGCTTTTTCAAGGTAAGTCTCTGTGTTGAACACCTTTGGAACTCCTGGCACTATAGGGAAGCAAATAGTAATTATAGATTGTCTTAAAAGGTTCAAAACATAATACAAATTCTCTTCTGCACTTTATTCTTGTGGTTTTGGTTTTGTGTTTTTGAGACAGGGTCAGGGTCTTGCTGTGTAACCCAGGCTGGCCTGGAACTTGCTGGATAGCTCAAGTTAACCCTCAAACTCACAGTCCCCCATCTCAGCCTCCTGACTGCTGTGATTACAGTCATGTACCACCACACCCAACTCAAACTTTCTATTTTTAAAGTCTTCTTGTTTACCTTATCTGAAAATGATCCTAATATATGTTATTGACACAAATATTGAAAAAAACCTCATGGTTAAAGTGAATAGTTTCAGATCAAAGGCTGATAAATATATGGACTAGTAATAATGTTTAATATTTAACCTTAGGTAAAAAGGAAATATATCTACATAGTTTGCTATTCTTAATAGACTTTTATTCATGATTAGGACATAAATGCACTGTGATGAAATCTAATAGTTATTGCACAATTAACTGTGTGTGTAGATAATGATAAAAGCCAAACCAGATTCCACCAGGACAACATGCATATGTGTTTTATTGTTATGAGTCATATTCATTTTACATGGGTTATGCTGTACCAGAAGAACCCTGGCACTAGCTTCACTTTGAGGACTAAATTCAGTTTGCAAAGGCAACGACATCGCCTCAATCCCATGTGTCAATCAGTAGAGACTTTCAGTGGACACTCTATATAGGACGCCTCTCAGTAAGATGGTCTTTGGCAGCTGGCAGTGTTGCTCAAGTAGTAGTGCGCCCGGCAAGTGAGAGGCCCTGAGTTCAAACTGCAGTACTGCAGCTGGGCACCGGTGGCTTACACCTGAAATTCTAGCTACTCAGAAGCCAGAGATCAGTAGGATTGCAGTTCAAAGCCAGCCTGGGCAAATAGTTCATGAGACCCTATCTTGAAAAATCTCTTCACAGAAAAGGGCTGGTGGAGTGGTTCAAGATGTAGGCCCTGAATTTAAGTCCCAGTACCAAAAAAAAAAAAAAAAATCCAATACCACCAAATAGCAGACAAAAATTTAAAACTAAGTTTTTAAAAGATGGTCTCTGGCAGAGACCCAGAGGAGAATCTATTCCAAAATGAAGATTTATTTGAAGAGGAGAACTGCTAGCATGGCTTCTCAGAAAATAAAGAGAAACAGAACAGGAATTTTTCTGACCTCAAGAGTAGTGAGTAAAGTAGCATTGTTTATTTGGGATTCTAAGTGACTGAATAACCAAAATCCAACTCTGGGGGATTAAGAGTGGCTACTGCTAGGCCCTTGGTATTATAAGGAGGTCACTGGACTCTGACTTTGCTACTGAGATAGAAGCAATCATTGTTTGACAACAACAACTTCACCTCCTTGTAAAACTACAGCTTGTATGCACTACACCATGCTTATGTGGATGGACTCGTTCAGATCCCTGCAGTATGACCTTAGCAACTTGTTTTGTTCTTTCCATGCCTCACTATCAATGAGAACAGTAAAAACACCAATGCTGTAAGGTTATGTGAGGATTTAATGGATTAACATATTAAAATGATTAGAACTGTGCCTAACACATGGGAGGTACTGCATTATAGTTGTGCGAAAAGATCTTAATTTTTCCAGGAAAAGCAATCTACCATTAGCATATCGTTGAATTATTTTTATATAGAACTTTTAACTACATATATTGGTCAAGTCCATCCAACTAAGTATGTTTAGAAACTAAGTGGTAATGCTAAACTTTTGGCAGTAATGCTGTTTTCTTAACAGTAAACTCAGAAGTCACATGCAGTTTACACACATCTCTGTTACAATTTCATGAAGACGACACAGGTTGAAATATTATAGCAACCTAGTGACATGAGAGAACAGAAAGACATGGCTTAATCACACTCAGTTTGTCTAGTTACTTAATGGTAGATCCATACTGCAATCTACATTAGTAAGCCCATGTCTTAGAAAAGCTCAGTAAACTCCAGATGCACTAAGAGAAACCATGATTTAAATTTGTTGTTAAGAACATGTTAAATACCTTTATATCCTTAAGGTATTATGGAAGGTTTACTTTGAAAAGTATGCTTTGAAAAAGTATATATATATAAAAAAAAAACTTGCATTGCAGTTTCGTAAAAGACTGTCATGAAAACATAATCAAAAGTAATGTTATCACATTTATGCTAATATGATAAAAATTACAAAAGACTGGATTTCTCAATTCAATAACTCAAGTTATTATTAAACTGTAAAATCAGCTACAAAAAATGGTTCATGTTCTCCTTTAGTTTTAGATGATTTGGACAGCAAACTGGCTGAAGAACAATCGGCCATCTCAGTGAATACCAGAATGCCCCTTCACTATGGATCAAGATCACAGTTCGGTCATTCTTACTCCAGTGGGAACAGGCATGGCGGTATCACAGGAGGGCCAAAAAATCGCCGGAATGAAACTTCTAATATGTCCATCTATGACATCCTGAGACCAGGAACTCCTAGGGAAGGTTTTAAAACCTTTTCCCCCCGGACAAGGACAATTTATGATATGTACAGGACAAGGGAGCCCAGGGTCTTTAAAGAAGATTATGTGCAAAAGAACACTTTTGGCAGTACTTCTCTGTGTTTTGACAGCAGGCAAAGATCATCCTCACCAGCCACAGGGCATTTCACTGCAAGAAGCTTACATTTTCCAGCCTCAACTCAGAACAAGAGTAGCTTTGTTCCACCAAGTCACCAGCAAAGCCCAAAGAGAACTCCTTTGTCATCCATCATATGGAATAGATCAGATTTTTTGAGAGACAGGCAGAACCAGGAGGACTTCCAGAGGGCACCATCACCAATGGAAATGGACCCTGCTGACCAGTGTGTGTATCCCCGGTGTTTTCAGGAGAATGGGAGATATGAATTGTATCATTCACAGAAAGTTTACCAAAATGCCCCCATGGATAACAAAGTAAGTCCTGACGCATTTGAGAACTCAGAGAATATGCCATTCTACCAACAAGACAACCCATTTGCTAGGTCTTTCTTTAGCAATACCTTCAGACAAAGAAGAGAGCAAAGATTTGGACAAACTTCTTCTTGGAGCCAACAGGAAGAACATTCTTCGTGGTCTGACTTTCATCAAAGTAGGAGGCCATTTACTTCTTCGGACAGAGACTTTGAAATGATTTCCATTGATGCAAATAGTGTACCAGCTGTTCATGGTCACAATGTCCCTTTTCAACACTGGGAACCATTCTCTTCTGGCTATGAAGCAAATGTTTTCAGAAGCCAAGAAGAGTCACCTCCCTGGCAACCTTGTTTTCAGATGTCCCCGCTGGAGCGCATGGAGATACCACTTGTTAACAAGAACCAGTCAACTCCCAATTTTGGCACACCAAATGTTTGTTCCTTGACTGATTCAAACTGTCACATCAAATCTAGTGGACTAGAAAATCAACAGGACAGTTCTCTTGTAGATGCACATATAAACAAAGAACCTTACTCATTTGGAATTTCTCAGACTCGAGCATCCTCATTCAAAACTTCGTCCCCCCAGATTCCTGATAACAAAGGAAAACCTCAGTGTCCTAACTTCCAGGGTGCGACAGTCACTTTGCAAAAAATTATTCCTACGAAGCTAGACTCCCTTCCGACAAGAGACCATATGGAAGTTACCAACAGGGATTCAATTAATCCTCCACCTCTTGTTAAAACCCAGCCTGATATCTTGGTCACAGAAATGAATAATGAGAAAGACGAGAATGAATCTATTTTAGAAGACAAACAACTAAATAAAACAGACCAGACGAACATGATAGGTGAAATGCCCCAATCTGTCTCACAGACAGTGAGCTCTAGCCCTTTACCTGATTTTCAAAATGCCCTCTCTCAGGACCCAGACAAAAACAACAGGTTTGGTTTTAATGTATCTACCACGATAAGTTCAAAAAGTTCACCCAGAGTCTTTTCAAGACTCTTTTTATCACAGAGAGATAAAGCCAATGAACTTAAAAAAGATAACTGTTTTCCTGGAAACAGAAAGTGCAACTCTGCAACTTCCTCTCCTTTCATTGAGGAAAGCAGAACACCACCATACTTCCCCAGCCCAAATCAAGATTGTCACCAGGAGTTAACAGTAAGTAATGAAGATATTTCAAGCATTGTTAAAAATAACCAGTGGTGTTCCGAACCTACTGATAACCAAAACTCACAGTCTCTAGATACTGAGGGAGAACAATGTCCCACAACTCATTCTGCCAACTGCACCAAGATGGCTGCTGGGCACAATATCTCATGTGATTCTTTAGGTCTGTCATTAGGTGCACCACCAGATTCGTCACCATGGAATAATTCTTTCCCTGATGCTCTTGTGAGTCCTTCTAGCACAGTATTCTCCAGCAGAACCCCTTCAGACAAAAATCCATCTCTGGGAGAAAGAGAAGAAAAAACTGCTAGCAAGAATCAAAATAATCAGTTCGCTGTAAGCTCAGAAAACCAAAAGAGTCATGATAGTCGTTTACCTATGCATAATGAGGTAGCCAAGTACCATTCAGAGTCTCCCGTAAGCAATGGAAAGGGAAGAGGAAGAGTGAGACATCGTATATCCTGTATTGAAAAGTTGAGCAAAACAGAAAGTACATCAATACCCACGAGTGAAGCCAGTCGCCTCATTAAGGAGAGTCAGAGCAATTCCAAGGCTTCTGAGCTTGACACAATTTATTGCACCTTGCCAAGAAAATCATCCAGTTTTCTCATAAATAGCAGGCAGCCAGAAAGCAAGATAAGGCCTGCTTCCATTAGGCATGGGCCACTTCCATTCCAAATAAAAAATGATGTGGGAAACCCAATTGGGAAGTGCACATCAAACGAACTCAGCTCCAGTTCTCCTGAGTCAGTGAGTGAATGCTCCAAAGCTGTGTCAGACTCGGCCCTCGTGACATCTGAAGTCACAGAGAGGATGGCAGATGTGAGAGGCATTAGATCTGCTTCTGTCAGGAAAGGACCACTGCCATTCCTCATCAGAAGGGCTCTGTCCTGTCCTTCAGAGAAGACATGTGCCTCGACTGGAAAAGATGAAAGAACAATCTCACTAGTCTCAGATACAGATGCCTCTGCCATAACACCAGGGTCTCGGGAGACAACCTTTAACTCTCTGCAAAGTGACCCATCTGTTAGAGGTGGTTCTTTAAGCAGAAGACACCACCAGAAGGAATTCAATGAAAATGGTAGTGGCATTGCCACCCAAGGAGCAGGCACGTTTACACTATCAAATGAAGACCGCTTACCATTTTGTGCAGATGTGCCAGGAAAAGAAAAGAAGAAGACATTACATAAATTTAAGACAACTAGTATGTTTTCTGTCTCTGGTGATGAAGACAACATAAAATGTCTTGAGGTGGTTTCAATATATTATACTCTCCCAAGAAAACCCAGCAAAAGATTCTGTGACCTCCTTCAGCAGTACACACAAGATACTAATTTACTTACAGAATCTCTTCAAGCGGAGACTGAAGCAGTGCCTATTTCTTTAGAAAGAGGCAAACCAAATTATTCTGCAGAGGAGCAGTCAGGAGCACCTTCCTCAGAAGAGCTAAAGAGGACCATCAACTCTGATCCATGTTGTCCCTCTCACACCACTGAAAATACGGCTGTCGTACAGTTATCAAACAGGGGCCCTTCAGAGCCTTCCATTGGGACAGATGTTTCTGTCCATACGGGAGAACCTGAGGCCAGAGAGATTGTCCAAGATAACTTAGCTAAAACACCTCAAGATGATTCACAAAGCGGGAAAAAATTGCAAAATGAAACTCTGCATACCTCATTAATGCATCAGGGAAAAAATGCTCCAGAAGAAAAATCTGAAATCTGCCAAGAATCTAACAAAACAAGAAACAATGATCCCTCTGGTCTCCCAGCCCATTCAGAAGGCAAAGTTAAAAATTCCCAAACCAGAAGAGGTTCTGAGGAGTGTGCAGGTAGTGGTATAGCCATTCCACCGACTGGAACTAGAAGCTGCTTTCAGAAAGATCACACAGCCCTAACTGTAGATGATAGCTCCAGTGGGTCACCTCCTAGGGAAGTCAAGGGGAAAATTGAAACAGATTGCCAAAAAGTGACTGATAAAATGCTTTCTGACCCAGAAAGCCAAGCCTTTGCTCTAACTCCAGCATTGCATAAACTACAGTTTGTTGAGGAGACTCACTCAGGTGAACTACATGCAGAGAAGTCTGAACCTAGAGAATTACCTCAAGGAAGTCAGAAGGTAGCTGCAATAGAGTTCAGGAAGGTTAAAGATGAAATCCATAAGGCGACATGGGGTCAAACTTTACTCTCTGGAGGAAATAACAAAAATAAAACGAACTTGGCTGCCTTAGATAAAGCAGAAAACAGATCTTCAATTAAACACAGTTTGGTAGCCATGTTTCAAGCAAGCAAAAAATTCTCAGCTAAGGATTTAAGCCCCAGAAGACATGTAGCTACTATCTTTCCCCAAAATGGAAGCACATCTGGCTTTGGTCCTTTATGTCTTGGTAGACTGGAGTGCAACCCGTCATCCCCTGAGCCTACTCCAAAGTCCAGACAATCCATAGACGAAAGAAGTTTGAGTAATGATGGGATGAACGTGGAGAAATCTGAGAACCCTCTTCTGGTTCCTGTGATATCCAACAGAGAACCTTCCAGTCATTCCTGTGATGACAAATCTAATAACATGCCACTACTACTCCAGAATGAGTTTAAAAAGATCTCAGAATCACCACCAAAGCATGAGAATTCTAAAGATGTAACAATAGCTCAGATTCTGGAAGGAGAGGCAGGAACTCCAGTCCAGCTCACATCCACCAGCCTCAGAGAATCTGACTTCCCCTGTCATCAGAGGAGGTTCAGTCCTCCTTTACTCTTGGAGCCCACACAGAAATCGATGATAAATTGCTCATTGGCCAGTTATCAGCAGCAACAAAGGAGTACTTTGTCTCCGGAGTGGGACCCTGAGCCACAGCTCTACCGTTCGAAGAGTTTAAAAAACATCAATGTGCTCAGTGATCAGCGCACAAGTCATCCTCCCAAAGTCAGGGGGCGCCATTTTTCTGAAAGCACATCTATTGACGATGCCCTAAGTCGACTGACCCTTGGGAATGACTTCTCTGACAGCAGTGTGTACAGTCGAAGATTCAAATCTTTTTCTGAACTTCCTTCTGGTGATGAAAATGAAAGTTGGGCTTTGTACAAAAGCAGGACAAAAACAGGTGCCAAGACCGTATCCTCTGTCTCCAGACCTATCGACTATGGGATTTTTGGAAAAGAGCAACAGTTGGCTTACTTGGAGAATGTAAAGAGATCACTCACACAAGGAAGATTATGGAAACCAGGTTTTCTTAAGAACCCTGGCTTCCTAAAAGATAATGTAAATAACCCTTCCAACCTATCACAAACAGAGTCATTAAGCTCAAATTCACCAGAAGATGGCTTATTTCCAAGTGAACCACTAAATATCTATGAGAAAGACCCAGGGGACTCAGACTGTGACACGGACACGACCACAGATGATGAATACTACCTGGATGAAAATGACAAAGAGTCAGAGCTGTGAAACTGAAGAAAAGAAAAAAACCTGCATAATACATTGATTGCTTTTTTGCATTTTGCCCTTCACCAAGAGCTTATCATGGAGTTAGTCTGCATTTGTATGTCCAGAGAAAGACAGACATAAAAAAAAATCTAGTTAAGGTAGAGTCTGTATGGAAACAACCCATTGTTTTCCCTCCACCCTATACATACACACTTTCTGAATTCTAAGTATAATGATTTCTTGTTGAGGCCCTCTTTGCTATTTTCTCCCTTTGTATTTGTTCTTGGCCTTCCTTTTCTCCCTCCTCCAACTTTATCTGTAACCCACTGTCCAACTGTGGCTCTCCAGTTTATTTTCCCTAGCTTTTTTTACATTTTTCTTTATGATTTATACCTGTAGTATCTCAGGCTCATACAAAACCTGTTAATTATATTACACAGCACAACTGTAAAACCATATTGCCTCTTCCTGTCTACACCCTGTACTCACGATGTTAAGTAGACTGGAGGGACAGTGACAATGGAAATATTGTCATCCTGTTTGATTTATCTACATTAAGGAAGTTTAGTGGGGTAATTTTTTCTCTCAAAGAAGATAAAGGAATTTTCACAGGGTCATCCTGTTACAACCATATTGGAGCCCAGGAACAGATGTTTGAAGTCCACATTGTGGTTGTAGGCGAGAGCTGAACTCCTATTACTACTTGGAGAAATTCCTCTGAAACTATGTGTGGAGGAGACTGGCTGAGTCGTTAAAGTCTGAGTTTTAATTGAGCCAAGGATTTAGGTCAGGCGAGTTAGTTGGCCACTAAATTTCTGTTTATAAGGGGAACATAACTTGACTGGTGGAGGTAAAGGGACCTCTCATCATGGACGGGCATCATTACTGCTGCTCTCTTGGCAACTAATTTTCCCTTTTCCCTAGAGCTGTTCCTTTCCTCAGTTTCCCTATTGGGGACAGAACACTTCAGGTGGGACATCTTACTCACAAATGTCAAGTGGGAGTCTTGGCTAAGTCCCTAAAATGCTGTTATATCCGACATTCTGGAGTTCACATGCTTCTCTGCTGAAACCACTTACCAAACCCTCAAGAAATTCTAACACAGAAGTCTGAAGAATCTATCACTATATTAGTTTTTTAAAAAATAATAATTTAAAGTCACTCGCTGACACCCATAGATAATTTGACTTTTCCTAGCTCTTTAGTTGCCACAGAGAACACCTGGGGATTTCTCTCCTAATTTAGGATAAAGACTAGTGGGTGATGGTGAAGATAATTTGCTAGAACCACAGATGCCAGGTAACCTGGATCTCCATGATCATCAGCAGGGACAGATATTACCATGTTCTATTTACATTTGCTTCCTGACATAATTTTCCATTTTTCTCACCTCTGTTTAGTGCATATAAACTACAGGTAATGATAGGTATTGGGGAAGTGGACAGAGATCTGGCACTGATAGAAATAAGAGAAAGAACCATGTTATTACTATCCTAATCACTGTCTTGCCGAGAACAGGATGCCAGGATGAGTTTTCACTGTTCCCATGAAACTCAGAACTAATGAAGATGAGGTAACTAGGCTGAAAGCTGTTCTTAAGTCGGCCAACTCTTTACAACTTCAAGCTCTGACCAGTTCCGAGCTCAAAGAGATGGATAAGAGAATTTATAATGAAACGGTTCGAATTTGTATGGTAAAGAATAAATAACATTTTATTCTTAGCTTAATGTACGCTTATACATATGCCTTTCCTCTGATTATGGAAGTAAAAAAAGTTTTACTTCAAATTATTTAAAAATTTCATACATTATGATGTATATTTCTGTGTAATTTTTAGAGTTCATATATAGTTAATACTTTAATATGTTTTTTTTTAAATGATCAGCTTTCAAATTCTATTTCAGTAAGTATTCTGAGTCTACATGTTTGATACAAAAGGTAAAATGAAGTTAGCTCACTTGTGAGTTTAGGGTCTAACAAAAACGAAGAGAGTGAGAGTAAGGATGAATGTTTTGGGGCCTGGTCTCTGCACTGGAATCCACTTCATAAGTGATCAGTGGCTGTTGCTCATTTGCACTGTTTGTATTGTTTGCTTGTTGGTCTGGCTTAGGAATCAAGAAAACAGAAAATACAGGGTGGAGTCCTGGCTCAAGTGTCTGCCTAGCAAGCACAAAGCCCTGAGTATGAACCCCAAAAGAAGACAGAAAATTCACAAAAATAGCACCTTGTACAGTTTTATACTTTTGTAAAGCACTTCGTTAAAGAAGTATAGCAAATTTCTATGTATTTTAACATACAGACTGCTGCTTTTTAATATTCATTTTTGGTATTGCTATGGTAATTTATAATAGTCATTTTTATATTCATGTTTTCTAAAAGATAAAATGTTATTAAAATTATGAATAAAATAATTATTAAAATAAATATTCATGTAAATACAGTAAATCCTTAGGGAGTCAACACAATATGTTACTAGCAAATTATTAACTTGTTTAGATGTCAGACTAATATAACCATAAATTTTGTACTGTTGAATCCACTTCAAATAGGGTTTGAGATTATTTTCAATTCTAAGACTTCCCTCTAAATAATTTACACCCCCCCCCATTGTAAATGCATTGATGTTGATAAAACTCCAACTGCTACTAACAAGGGTTTGGTTGGTAATAAACTTAAGAAGAAAGTTACTTTTCATGGGAGGTAGATATGCATCCTGGAGTTGATGAAAGAAAATCCATTCTGGCTGTGGTGAAGGTGGGAGCCAAATGAATTCATACCTCCACTGAATTAAAATTAATATCCTCCACTGAATGCCAAAAGGCTACAGAGGTCTTGTTGCTAAAAGCTTGTTGTTAATAAGAATGCCTCAGAATACCCCATCATAAATGTACAGTGGTGATACGTAAATATTTTACTTCCCATGCAAGTTTGTGAATGTATTATCCCTCTTTGGCTCTTCGTGACTGGTAATTCTGTTCTTCTGAAACAAGTAAACCATATGCACTTTCACTAAACTTTTTATGTAGTTGTTCTCAAACTTGTTCTCTAGGTATGAAATATGTTACAAGGTGCACATTGAAATAAATGATTGAAACAGAAGTACTGTTTGATTTGGTTTTTATTCCCATCCTCAAAAGATTATTCTTCATCATTATAAAGGTTTCAGAAGAATACAAAGAAGTGGGGTCAAATGTACTCAAACCAAGCTTTCTGGTGAGGAAGATTTGATTTGGATGAGATTTGCCATATAGATAATTGTTTTAAAAAGGCAGTGACTTTCTTCTCTCCTTTCACTTATGCCCCACAAGCAAGCAACCAACCTCAGGAGGTCAATATGCCTGATAATATAGTAGGAGAAGAATGCAGAAAGCCTGATGCATTTTTCTTTTCTCTGGAAACTCCATTCTCTGCCCAATACCCACCCCTCCACCCCACCCCCAGGTCACAGATTGACTGTGGAAGAGTCCATGTTCTCATATGACCCTAAGAGTCTGGGCACAGGAGATTGGTTCAGGGATGGTGTGTGCCCAGCACAGGCTGGATCAATGAGTAGCAGTGACTAAGGAGGAAATACTCACATTATGACAGTTCAATGACCAGTTGTGTCCCAATCTAATATCTACCGAACACTCTTAATACATGGTAGGGCAGGGGCTGAGTTTGTATTACCAGCACCTTGCAGAGTGTGTGATATAATGTGGGTGCTGAATAAATATTACTGACATAATTAAAATAAGGTAATTAGGTACTATATGGGATCTAAGTTTGTTTAACTCTATGTACGGTTTTAATTAATAACATTGGCATGAGAAAAATCTCTGAAGAATTTACTAAAGAAACCAAAGGCAGGGCTGGAGGTGTGGCTCAAGTGGTAGAGCACGTGAGGACTAGCAGGTGTGAAGCCCTGAGTTCAAACCCCAGTAACAAGAATACACCAAAAAAAAGAAAAAGAAGAGAGAAAGAAAGAAGCCAAAGACAGAGATGCTATTCAGATACTCATGAGTTGCACCAAGCTCTTGTGTGCTGCAAGGAACCAACCCAAAGATCGTCCATATTTCTCTTCTATTTCAGTTTTTGGAAGTGCATTGACTCTAGGCTTTTCAGTCACATGGGCTCCAATTCTGTTTGAGAGTGGAACTTTATATGGGAATGAAAAACGTCTTCAGCGTCAGTGTATTTTTCTGCACGTTTTGTACGCGGTGTGGAACTCTTTCCTCCCCTGGGCATGTGGCTAACTCCTACTTGAGCGTTGTAGTTCAGCGTAGACATCATTTCTCTGAGGAAGCCTCTCTTGCTTGCCGCACGATTAGGTAAGCTGGCTTTCCCGTGTGGTGCACAGAGTTTGGTCCTTGTGCTGGAAGAGGCGATCTGCCAAGGCCCCTGAGTGTCCCTAAACATTCCTGCTCGGTATGCCAAGAATGTAAGTTCCTAAGGCTCTTCACTTTGGCCCTGGCCATTCTTACCTAGTGTGTGCAGCAAGTAAACTTAGGGGAGAGATCACATCTCCCCACCTACAAGTAGTACACTTAAATATGTTTCCTCTAAAAGCGGGAAACTCCTTAAGCTCAATTCTTTCCTTCTGTAATGCATCCCACTTCAGGTATCTAGAATAGGCCCTTGGTATCGTCCCCACAATATCGCTGGAGGGGTAATGATGGCTCATGTCTGTAATCCCAGATACTTGGAAGGCAGAGATTGGGAGGATCATAGCTCGAAGCCAGCCAGTGCAAAATGTTAGTGAGACTGGTGGTTCATTTCTGTAATCCCAGCCACATAGGAGGCATAGAAGGATCTCAAGGCCAGCCTGGGAAAAAAACCCCACGAGGCCCTATCTGAAAAATAACCTAAAAAGAAAAAAAGGGCTGGAGGTATGGCTCAAGTGGTAGAGGGCTTGCGAACAAGGCCCTGACTTCAAACCCTGGTACTGCCAAGAATTTTTAAAAAGCAAGGCGGGGGTGGGGGCCGGGAAGGTGGCACAGGAAATACACACAAACCAACATGATGATGCTCTGGCTATTGGTTTCACAGTGGATAATAAAGTCCTTGTCTCAGACCCAGGAGTCTTGAGTCTTCTGATGGCATCCATGAAACAGTAACAGACTAACTTGCTAGTTTGCAAATAGGGCAAAATCCCAGCCTGTGGACTCTTCTTGACATCCATTTAACACCCACACTCTGTTTATAGATTCTTGTCTTTCTTCTCCACTCAGCGGAAGGCATTTTGAAGTCAAAGGTATAATGCCTGAAGTACAGTGGCATTGGCCAATGTTTGTTGACTGCAGGGATGAAGCTCAGTGGTAGAGCTTGACCTTAGCATGCATAAAGCACTGGGTTCAATCCCTGACAGAAAAGAAAAATTGTTGAATGAGTGAAATTTGATGACTTAAAATAAAATCCTAGTCAAGGCACTGGCTTGTTCTCCAGGGATGGATTAAGAAGAGAACAAGTTGGTATGACTCAACATCACTAAGCAGTTCAGAAGCAATTACCTGTCTTCCTTGATGGGTTCTCAAAAAAAAAAAAAAAAATGGGTGTGACCCCCAAATGTTATGTAACTTATTAGGCCCTATTTTACTATCTCCTGAGACCAGCTAACCCTCAGATCATTTCTCTAGGAAAAAAAATTAAGTCTGATTTTGGAAGAGTGTGAACAAAAGTGAGAGAGCACAGCCTTCCACAGAAAGCACGCAGACAACTGCAAAAAATAAAACGTACTAATGAAAGTAAGACACAAGCAGTGCCACAGGTTAGCCCTGCAATTCACTAGTTCCTGATAATCTTTCTAAAGCACAAAGAACACCATCTACAACGTCTGTGCAGCATTTCTTAACTAGGTCAAGAGAACTGGTTTTAAAAAAAAAAAAGTGGGCAAGATTTTGCCCTGGCAAAACCTGGCTGTGGCAAAAATGCTGAGTAGCCCAGAGAGACAGAGGGCTGCCCAGGGCCTGGTTCCGAGCGTTCTGGATTGTGGTCTGCAACAAGGTGGAAGAAGCCATGTTTCTATTCTGCAGTGAGAGTTCTCTCGGGGTCAGTCAGCCTGAGGAGAATCTATTTCCTTCAAATAAATCCAACCCATAAGCAGATCAGAAGAAGAAACAGTAATTAGCACGTGTGAGTAAACTGATCAATAAAGGGAGAGCGATTGTCTCCCTGGCTCTTGCCAGTCTCTTCCTGCCGCCCTGGTGATGGAGGTGGCCAAGGTCAGCTACTCCACCATCCCTACAAGGGGTCGGGAGGCTCCTGCCTTTGAGCTGCTACTCACCCACCAGGCTCAAGGCAAGGCCTAGACCCTGCCTTCTGCTGCCCCAAGACCCGGCTGACACCGGGCCTGGCCCAGCTCCGTGGATCCTTGGTGAAAGAGGGGGAGTGTGGTGGGAAGGAGGAAGGGGAGGAGCGGAGGGAGGCTGCTGAGCAGGAACACAAACAGCTGTGGGTGGGGCTCAGTAGGCACAGCATCTGCCTAGTAAACTCAAGGCCCTGAGTTCAAAACCCAGCACCGCCCCCCAAAAAAATTTAACTAAAAAAAAAAAAAAAACCAGTCGAAACAACCGACGGCTGCGACAAATGGCGTGGCGGGCAGAAGGGAGGCGGGAGGCCAGGCCTGGACACTGCAGCTTGTAAGCTAGGTGCAATTCCTTGTCCAAAGGAGGTTCTTGGCGGCGGGGCCTTTCTGTCGCCCCTCAGTGGCTCTGCACCCTTTAAAGGCGGGTGACAAACTTAAGCACCTCTCGGAGTGGGGGGCGCGGCGCGCACCGTGCACGGTGCACCTGGGACTCCCCCGCGCGCGGGCGGACGCGGGTCCCGGCTGGGGAGCGCGGGGCGCGCGCTCGGGGGCCACGTCGGTGCCACGGTGCGCGCTCGCGTGCGGGGCGGGGCGGGGCGGCCGAGCATTGGCCCGCCGCGGGGGGAGGGCCCTGGCCCTGGCCCGACTCGACCCGTCCCCTCCCGGCGCGGCCCCGCGGCGCCCCGCAGCTCGCGCCCGCCATGCGCCACCCGCCGCCCGCCCTGCTGCTGCCGCTCGCCCTGCTGGTGGCCGCGGGCGCCCGCGAGGCCCCGGTGAGCGCGCGGCGGAGCCTGGCCTGGGGGCCGGGACTGCAGGCGGCCGCCGTGCTGCCCGTGCGCTACTTCTACCTGCAGGCGGTCAGCCCCGAGGGCCGGAACCTCACGCGCTCGCCCCCAGGTAGCGTCCGCCCCGGGCCGCCCGCGCCCGTCCCCGTGTCCCCCTTGCCCCCCGGCAGCTCAGCGGGGACTGGCTGAGTGAATGGCTCCCAGGCCCTTCTGCATTGGTGTGCAGGGACTGATGTGGCCACAGGTGGCGCCTGGGGGGACTGGACGCATGCGGTCACGTGTTGGACCTGGCCCTTCCCTCCGACCTAGGTGGCTGCGCTCCAGGGAGGGCCACGAGGCTCGTGGGGGTCCCGCGGCGCAGGCCGGCGGAATGGCCGGCGGAAAGGAGGCCAGGCGTTGGTTTTGTTGAGGAGGTCACAGGCTCACGCTTCCCGGCGGGATCCCTTTCTGCCGGGCCCCCTCCCGCGGCCCGCACCCCAACCTTTGCGGTCTGACAACTCGTCCTGCTGCTTTCCACTTGCCGCCGGTCAGGATCTGCTCCTTTATGTCCAAGGTTAGGGCTCTTACCCGCGACGAGACGACCGGGAGGGCCCGGTGACTTCCCCTGCAGGGCCAGCGGGCGCGTCACTGTCCTGCAGGAGCCGGCCCCGGCTTGGGGACTGACTTGGGGTTACGAGTGGGGTGTGGTGAGAGGAGCGATTAAACTAAGCAAAGCCGAGAGAAAGCATTGAAAAGCCAAAGGTGATGGACTTCAGGCTTAATAATCTTTTTAAGTTTCACCGCCCTGCCTCCTTCCACTTGCTGTCTCCTTGACTGTGTGTTTGGTGATCCCGCTGTGGATGTGAGGAGAAGACGCAGTGCGCGCGTATCACACACGAAGGTGTTTTGGAAAATCATAAGCAAGTAACTTGCGACAGCGAAGGCCACCACAGAGTGCAGTAAAGTGACAAAAGCTGCCCGGTGGCCCTCGGGTTACAGCAGCAGAGACTTGAAGGTCAAGGCCAGCTTGCTGTTGTGGGCCGTTAGCATGGCACGGAGTTTAGGAAAGTAAAGAATTTTGCAGATTGCAGCCAGAAGTCTTCGAGAGCCTTTAATGACAAGCAAACTATAGCCACAGACAGCTGTAAGCAAACCCGCCCATCTGTATCCCACTGAAACCATGGACACTGGAACAGGAATTTCCTGTAACTTTTCATGTGTCACAAAGTAGTCTTCTGATTTTTTTTCCAACCATAAAAATGTAAAGCCATTCTTAGCTCACAGGCCTTGCAAACAAAACAAAACAAAACAGGCAGTTAGCTGGACTGGCCATAGTTGTCAATCTACATTAAATTTGTACTAAAGACCCTCAATTAAAATTCGAGGGATATATATCACTTAAAGTTGTACATATATTTATGGGTGTTTAGGTCACTCACTAGAAGGAATGTGGCATCTTTATTTTTGGGTGGTTTACCCTTCAAACCTATGACTTTTTTTAGAGAGACTTTTCCATTTCCCTAAAAGAACAGGCAAAAAGATGCTTAAGTTCAAATTCAAAGTCTGTCACTATGGTGTCTATCTTCTTTATAGAGTTTTCTGTTTTTAAATATATGCTCAAATTCATTTTAAAAAGTTGCAATGGAGAAAAAAGAAGATAGAAAGCTAAGAAAAGAACTATCTGATATATGAAAAAAAAAAGAAAGTTACACAATCCAGGATGAAATCCTTTTAATCTTACTATCTTATTATTAATGAAAAAAATACAAATTCAAATAAAGATTTTTTTTTAATCTAAAAATACAAGTTTTTTTTTTTTTTTTTCCAGTACTGGTGTTTTAAATTCAGGGCCTTACACTTGCTAGGCTCTACCAGTTGAACCACACCCCTGGCCTTTTTTACTTTCTGGTTATGTTTTAGATAGGGACTTGCACTTTTTGCCCAGTCTGGCCTCTGACTGCAACCCTTCTACCTAAGCCTCCTGCATAGCTGTGATAACAGGTGTGCGTCACCACACCTAGCTTATTCTTTGAGATAGGGTCTTGCTAACTTGTTGCCTCGGCTGGCCTTGAACTGCATCCCTCCTATCTTTACCTCCAAAGTAATTGATTGGGATTACAGGCGTGAGTCACTGTGCCTGGTCCTGGCAAATATTTTTTTAAGAGGCAACACTCAAAACTTAACGGAGCAGTAAGACATTCAACACTTTCATCCTTTGCTGGTTGAAGCACAAATTGGTAAACTGTTGCTAGAAAGTAATTTTCCTAACATATGTAGAGTCTTAAGCATTTATAAATCTAATATACAAAAAAATGAGTTTCAGCGGTTAAAAAATGTAATTTTTTAAAAAGATGTCACTCACAAAAAAATGTCTGTGCCCTTTAATCTAGTAATCTGACTTCTAGGTATCTTTCCTGAGAAAATAATCCAAATATGGTTAAAGACTTATGCTCAAGGATATAATGACCTATGTGCAGCAGGATAATTATTTATTACAGCAAGTCTAAGTGCCCAGCCATAAGATAATTGCTAAGTAAATTATGGTTCATACGATAGAATGTTTGACAGCCACTAGAAGTAGCCTTTTAGGTTCCAAATTCGTAGAATTTGGTATCTGAAGTAGCCAAATTCATAGAAACAGAAGCAGAAGAGCGGTTGTCAGGTGAAGACAGAAAGAGGACGTTGTTGAATGGGTTTTGCAAGACCAAAAAGAAGGTGCCTGGACTTGTCACACAGCAATGTGTGTACCGTGAGCATGCTGATTTAGCTCTTGTCATCGGACTGGTGAGTGCTGAAGAACTTGCACCATTGTTCCTACCACCTGCTTCACCAAAACTAAAGTATGGTTTTCTGTTCAGAAAACCTGGACACAGAAAGCTCGTTTCTGGGAAGAGACCGAAATTAAGAGCTCATTAGTAATACTTGTTTTCATTTTGTTGCGGGACTAATTCTAGGAACTGGAATGATGGAGACATTACTACACAGAGAACTTCCGTGTGGCCTCGTGTCACGCTCGCCTAAGTGTGAAGAGCATCTATTTGTACTTGTCATTTATTATAGGTTAAATTTGAAACTGATTTTAAAAGTAAGCGTACTGAACTGTACACTTGAAAACGGTTAGGATGAGCAAGGGCTCGGTGGCTCACGTCATAATCCCAGCTACTTGAGAGGCTGCGATTTGGAGGATCACCATTGGAGGCAGCACCAGCAAAAAGTTCCCAAGACCCCATCTCAACCAATAGCTGAGAACAGTGACCTGTGCCTGTCATCTCGTAGCTGTCCTCGAAGCTGAGATCAGGATGAAGGTAGTTCCAGGCCAGCCCAGGCAAAAAAGTTTTCAAGAGTCCATCTCAAGAGGAAAAAGCTGGGTGTGGTGGTGCATGCCTGTCATACCAGTGACAGCAGGAAGAGTAAAATAGGATGATCACAGTTCAGGCCGGCCTGGGCAAAAAACAAGTCTGTATCTCCAAAATAAGCAGAGCAAAAAGGGCTGGAGATGTGGTTTGAGTGGTAGAGCTTCTGCCTAGCAAGCACTGAAGCCCTGAGTTCAAAGACAGTACCTCCAAAAAAAAAAAAAAAAAGAAAATACACATGAACTCTAGGACTGACACATAACAGGGCTCTGAATTTTTTTAAATGTTTTAGCTTCTTTCTAAGTCAAGTGTTGGGAATGTCTGATTCTAACGATGGAGGGTGGTGGTGCTGCCAGCCTCCTTCATCTTCACAGTCCCTGCCTTCTGGTCCAGGTGGCCACTTTTTCCACAGAAGCTAGCGTTTGTGGAGGAGAAAACTCAAGCTCAGCTTCAGTTCTGCTCACTGTCACAGCCACCCCTCCATTTGAAGCAATTTGGAATTTCACTGTCCTCACTCTCTTAGGAGGTTAGAAATGCTCGTTTCTATGTCAGCTCTTGTCTGACTACTTTTCATTGATCGTACATTCACTTGAGGCCATCCATGGCACAGGCCTGAAAGACTGCTGTCAAAAATAACTGAATATGTATTTCCGGTGGCTGTACACGCTTTTGCACATACATTTGGATAAAAAAATGTCATAACCAGAACAGACCACAATGATGACCTTCAAGACTTTACAAGTAAGGGACCACTGTGGTGCTAGTTTTCTACCTAGTCAACAATACCTCAATTTTATATCTGTGATATTTATTTAAAAGTAATGACCTATTGTGAACAGGACTACGTGATCAGAAGACAAGTCTTTTTACACGTTGTCAATTGGAGTCAGAGCAAGTGAAGAAGCCTTCTGTTTCTCAGTCACTGTCCCCAGCTGTCAGCGTGCCACACCATGCTGTCTCTCTAAAGACAGCTGGGAAGTCACACAAAGCAATAACCTGTGTGTTTCATTTACACGCTTCAGTAATTGGCCAAAGTTTCTAATTTCATATTAAATTTTGCCTTTTTAATACCATGTGTATCTGTTGTATTTGTGACTTTCAGCAGGTTTCTTTAGTCATTTTATCACACTTGTTTCAGGGATCCTAACACGTGTGGGTTTGGTGAGAAATTATTCAATTGTAAGATGTCTCAGAGCACTGTTACCAAACAAGAGACTAAGACACATTTCTTCTGATATATAAGAAAAAATCAAAATCCTTTGTTATGGTTTGGATCTTAAATGCCCTCCACCCCAAAGCGCATGTGTGGAAGGCTTTGTCCCCAGTTGGTGCACTGCTGGGAGGTGGTGGAGGCCTAGATGGAGGAAGCAGGTCATTGGGGAAATTCCCTTGAAGGGTTTTGGGACCCAGGCCCCTTACTCTCTTGCTCTTTGCTCCTTTTTTTAAGTTCTGAACTCAGGGCCTTCACCTTGAGCCACTCCACCAGCCCTATTTTTGTGAAGGGTTTTTGAGATAGGGTCTCGCAGAACTATTTGTCTGGGCTGGCTTCCTGATCTGCCTCCTGAGTAGATAGGATTACAGAGGTGAGCCACCAGTGCCCGGGTGCGCTTTGCTTCCTGGTCACCATGAGGTAAGTGCTTTTCTCTGCTGCTTGCTTCTGCCATGGTGTACTATCTTGCCACAGGCCTAAAGGCAAGCAGGCCAAGTGACCATGGTCTGAAACCACGAGCCAAATAAACTTTTTCTCCTTGAAGTTGGCTTCTTTCAGGTGTTTTGTCACAGCAATAGAAAGTTGACAACGTGATTCTAAAAGAAAATAGACTCTTACACTTAATAGATTGAACTAAGAATAAAAGATATAAACTCATCAATTTAGACAATTTGTATCAAATGTGTGTGGCTTCATGATATCATAGATGTAAGATGAAAGACACCTTTGATCACAACCCACTGTTTGGCAGGGCTGTGGACTTCAGAGGGTTCTCTTTTTTTTTTTTAACATTTCTCTTTGTTATGTTCTCAATGACATATCTACTATTCGCTCTGAAGGAAGAGGCTCCAAAGTTTGTTTTTTGTTTGTTTTTTTATTCCTGGGTCACAGTAACATTAATTACAGCAGTATCATTTCTAAGTCGAAATAAATCAACTAATAGACAAGGGAAAGTTTGTTAAGTAGGTATTCTTACCTAGTAAAGAAAACCCACAGAATTTTAGAGCTAGAAGGGCTCTTTGTAGTGTAAGTATTTCATGTCAAGCTGAGGAAACAGAGGTGAACCCTAGTGTTACAAAGCGGGCTGTGTGCAGAGCCTGGTAGCTACTATAATCCCTCTCTAGTAGAAGTATTTGAAATTTAGATTGAAAAGGAGAGAAGTTTTATCAGAAATGAGGTTATCAGATATAAAAATGGCATATAGAAGCACTTGTATAATTTGCAAGGAGAAAATTGAATTACTGTAGAAGCCTGTAATTTTGAGAGTTCGTGGATTTTTTATTAGCATGTATTAGTTGTACAGCAGGATACATTGTGACATTTACATCTGTGCTTACTATGTATCTTAATTAAATTCACCGCCCCAGTCATTATCCTCCATCCCTCTCCCCACTTCTTAGAACAGTTTGAACGTTGTTCAATTTTCATACATGTAAGCAAAGTGCATGGGCCTTGTTCATCCTTCTTCCCCCTCCCCCAACTCGTCCCCTCCCGCCCCCATCAGTCCCCCAAAAGGACCTGTTTCACCTTCCTGTGTTTCATTTTTTAAAGCAAATATTGGTTGCTCAAGGGATTTTTTAGCCACCCAAGCTTTAATGTCACTCAAAGGAGAAGCTCAATTAGGCAAAGAGTTCATTTCTTCTTTTGCTCTTTTCATTTTGTTCATTCAACAAATTATTCTTCAAATGTTGAGTCATAGCCTTGGCTTAAAGACATGAGCCAGATGTACAGTTCCTGGCCTGCAGAGTCTTCCAAGCTGAAATGACTCTTGTTTCCCATCAACGCAACAGGAAGAAGTAACTTCTGTGTACAAGATACCTGCCTAATGATCAAGGTATAATAATCGTGAAGTGGTAATTTGTATTTCCTTTTCTTTCAGGTCAAACACTGTTCAAAGTAGTAGTCAAATCTCTCTCACCTAAAGAATTAGTCCGAATTCATGTCCCTAAACCTTTGGACAGGAATGATGGAACGTTTTTGGTGAGATACAGGATGTATGATACTGTCAATGAAGGGCTGAAAATAGAAGTTTTGTATGGTGATGACCACGTGGCTCAATCTCCCTATATTTTGAAAGGTAAGTGATTATTAATAATCCAGAGTTTCCTTTATGTACAGGTACTTTCAGAATGGGTTATAATGACCTTGAAGTCCTGTTCAACAAGGAAACATTGTATATATACTCCCTGCAGCTCACTGGATTTGAACTTTGGGGGAAGAGAGGGTGTACTCAGGGCCTCACGCTTTCAAAGCAGGTATTCTTCCTCTTGAGCTGCACCTCCAGTCCATTTTACTCCATTTTGGAGATGGTGTTTCATGAACTATTTGCCCAGGCTGGCTTCGAACCTTGATCTGCCTGATCTCAGCCTCCCAAGTAATGAAGATTATAGGCATGAACCCCATGTTCAGCAAATTGTTCAGCAATTTGAAATTTTAAAAGAATGAAAATTAAATAATTTAAAGGTAGGTGATAAAAGCAAAAAAAGTTGTGCAATTATCCACACACAGGACCACTTCTGATCCCTTTGTCTCTTTGTGTAGACCCATGTTTCTACCTATTACCATCTGCTTCCACCAAAAGATTTCCATCTCCATTTCTCATAGAGTAATAATACTAGTGATGAACTCTTTCAGCTCTTAACTGTCAGGAAAAATATGTTTTCCTCCTGTTTAAAGGACATTTTTGCCACTTGCTGAATGATAAATTGATGGTTGCTCTTTTCCTGTTAGTGTTTAAAGATGCCACCTGTCTTCTTTGCACAGTTTCCAACAGTAAATCTATCATTGCTCTTCTCTTTGCTCTTCTGTGCTACTGAAGGTTTTCTCTTCACCTGTCATTTGAGCACTTTGATAATTATGTTGCTTGGTGTAGTTTTTGTCATGCTGTGCTTAGGGTTTGTGAAGCTTCTTGGGGTTTTGGGTTTATAGTTTTCAACATATTTAGAAAAATTTTGACCATTATTTCTTCAAAATTTTTTTTCAAGTTCATTCCAGCTTCCCTTCAAGGATCTGAATTACCCATATTTTAGGCTTTTTTTTTTTTTCCTTTTTGTGGAACTGGGCTTGACCTCAGGATTTTATTCTTGCAAAGCAGGCACTCTACCTCTTGAGCCACACCTCTCATCCATTTTGCTCTGGTTATTTTGAAGATGTGGTCTCAAGAACTATTTGCCCAGGCTGGCCTCAAACCATGATCCTCCCAATCTCAGCTTCCCAGGTAGGTAGGATTACGTGCATGAGCCACCAGAACCCAGCTATCTTAGGCATTTTGAAAATTCTCTTTTCCTCTGTTGCATTTTATACAGTTTCCATTGATATGTCTTTAGGTTCACTAATCTTTTATTTCTGCAGTGCCAACTTCTCATTAATCTAGTACAAAGTATTTTTCATGTCTTGCTACTTTGTCTTTTTGAGTCTTTTTCTGGGATACAGCTGAGGTTCTTGGAGATAAACCTTTTGAGTTCTGCTTTTACGATTTGTTAGATTGGAGCCATGTTTAATCTAGGGCTAATTGTCTCTGCTACTAGAGCCCTTCTGCATCCCTTTCCAAACCCCAAGAATTAGGAGGCTTTCCAGCCTGGCTGGTATGGACAGGCATTCTTCCCAGCCCTCTGTGAGCAGCAGATACAGTTCCTCTGATCTTCCCCTGCCTTGGATACTTTCTTCTCCTACGTGTACTGATCATAAGCTGTGCTGGACACCCAAAGGGGACCTGCTGCAGGTCTCTGGAGTTCTCGGTGAGATTCTGTCCTTTCAAATACACTGACCTCCCGGTCCTAGCTGCCTTCGTCTCCCTGGACTCCCAGCTCTGTCTCCTCAACTCAGTGAGAACCAGGGTCTTCCCACATTCACCTCCCTATGCTACAGCCTGGAAACCAGCAGTGAGCGTGGGGGCTCTGAGGCCTTTGTTTACCATGTATCACACTCCTTGTCACTCATTGTCCTTCATTGCCTGATGTTCAGGGCCTTAAAACTGTTACTTAATAATACTGCCTGGGTTGTTTTTTTTTTCAGTAATTTTACATGAGAGAAAATCAGGGCCCACTTATTTGTCTTGGCCTGAAGTAGAAATCCTCAAGAGATTTTAATAATTTTTAATTAAAAGAAATATAGATACATCTTAAAACAATATATTAAATGTGTACAGATTGACTTTTAAATGAGTCTTCAGAGAAGTTCTATGCTTGTGGCCTACCACTTAGGACCACACTGCCAGACCCCCTGGGTTATACATTTCCTCTGAGATCTGCCGATGGAGGTGATCTTCGGGGCTCAGAGAGGGTGACCCCTCTCCCTACTCCATTACTCTCCCTACTCCATTTTAATGCCTAAAAAATCAATATGTTCCTTTTCCTTGTTAAAAGGTAAGTTGTTTAATGTTCATCAGCCATTGATACCTCCCTAGAAACGAATTCCTCACCTACCTGAGTGAGAGCAGAGCTAAGATGGGAGAGAGTGTGTACTGTGCTAGGCTGTCCAGTGTGACCTGAAAGGGGACAGAAATTAGGAGTTCAGGATTCTGACATAAGGAACCGGACAGCTCAGTCGGTAGAGCATCAGGATTCTGACATAATCGCCTTCACCACTGATTTGTCTGGATTGTCTTGGAATTCACCCAGAAGCCATCCCGTGCTCACCGCTCTCTGGCCTGTGGTGCTTGTTAAGCTAGTGTGGCTTTGTGTGTTTTGCCTTCTCAGGACCAGTGTACCATGAGTACTGTGTGTGTCCAGAAGAGGACCCTCAGGCCTGGCAGAAAACGCTTTCTTGTCCAACTCAGGAGCCACAAATTGAAGAAGATTTTGCTTCCTTTCCAAGCATTGATCTCCAGCACATGCTAAAAGAAGTCCCCGCAAGGTTTGGGGACGAGAGGGGTGCCGTTGTTCATTACACGATTCTGGATAACCACATTTACCGGAGATCTTTAGGGAAATACACAGATTTCAAAATGTTCTCTGATGAGATTTTTCTGTCACTGGCGAGAAAGGTATGAAAAGGAATGACTTGGTCCTCAAAATACTAGAATTGTTCTCTTCAATTCAGTATGACTCGAACTTAGAACACATTTTTCTTGTCTTACCCTAAGCACCCCTAGAAGATAGTGTTCATGACACATTTTGTTGAAGGCGGGGATAATAGAGGTTATTTTGTATTAGTGCATACTAAAAAATAAACCAAGTTTCTCACTGGCCACCCTTGATCTTCAGGCCTTGCCTTACTAAATGTGGTCAGGCCTCCCTGTCTTTCAGACTCACCACAACCGTCCCCTCTCCTGGACTCATTACTAACAGCCTTCCCCACCCCCATATTCAACCCTCTTTCTACACTGCAGAACTCTTGACTTCCTCTTAAGCTAAGCAGTTCACACTATCTTTTGTTCTTCCTGATCATGCAGGGTGAAGGGTGCAAGTGAGCAGTTTTTATCTTTCTCATCCAGAGAGAGCAGCAAGGTAGTTTTCTAAACTAAACCCCAGCTTTGCCATTTGCTATATAATTTACCAGGTATGGTGAATGTGTCACTGCATTCAGTTCTTATTTAAAGGACTGTCACTTTCCCTCTACCCCCAGCTCACCATGTAAGCATATGAGCATGCTATGGGTGTCTGACCCTAAAGGTCTTGGTCTCCTCCTGGGCTACCACCAGTCCACCCTGCCTGTGCACCTGTATCCTGCATATAGTTTTCAGCTGGGAATGACTTTTGTCCCTCGGGACATTTCACAGTATGTAGTCAGCTTTGATTGTCTCACTGTTACCAGAGGAGCTTTGCAGGTTATTTACTTGAACTCCCCCCACTGTACCTACTTTATCCTGCTACAGTAAAATGAATCCTTGCTAAAACTTTCACCTTGTGAGATTTGTCATAAGACACCTTGAAATGCTTTTCACAGTGGATCTCAAGCACCTTTGATTTTGCAGCTAACAGAGTTCTCAAAACGACTCATTCATACGCCTCTATTCAATGTCCACTTCTATATAGTAAATTTTAAATGTGGCCTCTGGACAGAGGTAGTTGACTTTCTGATAAATGAATTGACTGTTTACTATCCTCACCTGGGATTTACTGACACAACCAAAGACCAAGAGGCATTCTTCACCCTTCTCCCACTGTTTTCACGTGGTCAGCTCTTCCAGAAATTATACTGTTAGGAAAGTCAAGGAACTACTACAGTATTTATAGTACTGAAGACTGAGTCCTTCTAGCACTGATGTTTGTACTTCTGTTTATTTAGGTCCTTCTCCCAGATTTAGAATTTTATATTAATCTTGGAGACTGGCCCTTGGAGCATCGAAAAGTCAATGAAACCCCTGGCCCAATAGCTCTCATTTCCTGGTGTGGCTCTCAGGATTCAAGAGATATTATCCTTCCAACATATGACACTACCCACTCCACACTGGAAGCAATGAGGGGTGTTACAAATGACCTTCTCTCTATTCAGGGAAATACAGGTAAGTCAAGGTTAATTCTGTAGGAAAAAACTTAAAAGACTAAAAGAGATGAAGGGAATATCCAGTCAGAGAGAATAAATGTGTATATGTAAAGAACCATTCTTACTTTCTAACCAAGAAGAAAGAAAAACTCAGGATTGGGGGTGTAGCTCACTACGTAGAGTGCCTGCCTAGCATGTACACGGCCCTGGGTTCCATCCAGCACCATAAGGTTAGAAAAGAAAAAGCACCCTGAATGTTGAAGTGGTCTGTTTAGTATTCCTCCTATCCAAAATTAAAAACACATTACTAGCCGAGACCAGCCTTCACCAAGTCTCCTTTGAATTGGTCATTTGCATATACTTTTTGAAAAATATAGATTGGGTAAGTCATCACTTAATTCTGACGCCAATGCCTGTTATTGCTGAATAAAATGAGAGAGAATTTTGAAAAAAATAAAATGTTATGGAAATCTAAGAGAATTGTTATAATATTATAATTTGGATATTACATCTCTCATTTTATCCTTTAAAATCTGAATTCCTTTCCTTAAAAAAACTTGGCCTTGTCTTTCGGCCTCTATTTCTCTTTATTGTTATTTGGTGAACATATTTTGTACACAAAATCAGAGACTTCTTATAAACTAAAGATAACATGAAATAAAATTGGCCTTCCAATGTGATAACAATGAATTCCTGAGAAGTGTGTAAAACAGTAGAGATTGATCCTCTTCAAGTTGTATGTTTTATGATTTATTCCTCAAACACTTAACAGGTGTTAACCAAAGACTTCTCTCTGTACAATAATAGTAATAGATTTCAAATTAATTCTTCCAGAATATTTATTTTCCAAAAGAGTGAAGACATAAATATGTGTATATAGAGTTGAGTTTATGTTTGCATGACAGCATATTAGAAAAAGTCTTCCTGATATTCAAACTTCTGAGCAGCCTGGGGAGTAAAGACTTGTGGATGCTACTTAGTTATGCAATTTTTCTCCACCCCGTCTAAGATCAAAAGCCTAGCTCGTGTTTGATTGTGAAGCACAAAATATGAGAGGAGCTGTTGCCTTGTTGAGTGGGCTAGGTAATTGAATGTCTTTTTGCTCTGAACTTGGTCCCATATTATTTTGGATTTTTCCCAGTGTTTAAAATGGAAGACAGCAGAGTCTGTGTGAAGCTCTTATTAGTAGATCAGTCGGTAGAACTGGAGCATTCTTTTTTGTTTTTTGGGGTTTTTTTGGTACTGCAGTTTGAACTCGGGATCTTTGAACTCAGCAGTGGGCAGGCGCTCTACCACCTGAGTGAAGAATTCTCTAATATAGCAAACCAAAGGACTGTTTTTGAAAGTATCTCTGGCATACTGAGACTCAATCCTGTGTTTTTTGGAAGTATTTTCTACTTTACAAGATGAGTGGTGAGAAAAGAGTAGTAGCATCTTAAATGACAATGGTGGATTAAAGATGATTATACTTACCATATTATAATGTCAAATTCATAATCATAATTTTTATGGCCTCAAACTTCTAGGGCCTTCCTGGATCAATAAAACAGAGAAAGCTTTCTTCAGAGGTAGAGATAGCCGAGAGGAGAGGCTGCAGTTGGTACAGCTGTCCAAAGAAAATCCACAGCTACTAGATGCAGGAATTACAGGATATTTCTTTTTCCAAGAGAAAGAAAAAGAACTTGGAAAAGCCAAGTTGATGGGTTTCTTTGATTTCTTTAAGGTATGCATTTGAGTCTTCCCGCATGGCTATGAAGTGATAAACTTGTATTCAAAATCTATCACATAGGTGGGCTTAAGGTTTATTTCTTCTGTCTTTGTGACTTGATACACTTTCACAATTTCTCATCAGACTCAGGAATTCTCAAAGCTCATTGTGGTTTCTTTTGTTTTTACTGTTAACTTTGTCTACCACATACATCAGTACTAAATTTGATGCTTAAAATACAGTATAAAGGTTAACGTGGGATTTTGATTTGTTTATTTCTCTTGGGGTTTTTAAATTATTTTTTATATTTGTTTAAATAAACTGGGAGCATAAATGTCTTTTATATGAGGGATCTCAAGTTTCCTAGGTAAAATAAAAAAGAAGTACGTTTAATACATGTGAAGGAAGAGGTAGAGCTGATGTGCTGCCTCTGCCCCACCGTGAGACGTCATCTCTCCAAACACCTGCTCCTACACAGCGGTGCCCTGGGTTTGATCTCCAGCACTGAAAAAAGAACTAATTAATTACCAAATCTGGAAGTATATCCTCTTCATTTCATGGTGCTATAATGAAAAGAAAAAGGGATTGGGACTAAGATTAGAGGCTTATAAAGCTCTCAGAACACCAGTTCTTGCCCTTTTTAAATACCCTCTTCACATTACTGTAATTGAATTAGGTTCAATGACTATGAAAAGTGCTTTTGGAATGGAAATCGAAGCTGATTAATTTGACATATGCAAATGGAGTGCCTGCTTTCCCCAGCTTCTGTCTCTTCCACTGTAAAGCTGTAAAATAGAGCTAACACCTTCTGTTTCATGGGTCGAGCCTAAGGAACAAATGAAATAATGCATAAATAAAGTTCACATTGCTAGATTCAGTATTGATAAGTACAGAGCTTTTGAAAATAGTTTTGATACCTATTTCTGGTTACAGAACTCTGTGTTCCCTTTACATAGATAATTGAAATAGGTGTTCTTTCCTTTTGCCTCAAATTATTTATCATCTTATCATTAAATGCATCATTATTTCTTAAAATTGAGCCGTAAAAGGCTGCTGAAGATTTTAATACATAGAGAAAATATAAGTCACAAAATAAAACTTTGAGCACAGAAGCTGCAAAATAATTCCTCTATTTACTATTACAGTATTGGTAAGAAGCAGAAGTGGAGCAAAGGACTGAGAAATGTCTGTGCTTTTGTCTTCAATCTTGTAGTTCAAGTACCAGGTGAACGTGGACGGGACCGTGGCTGCGTACAGGTTCCCGTATCTCATGCTGGGGGACAGCCTGGTCCTCAAGCAGGACTCACCATATTACGAGCATTTCTACGGGGCCCTGAGACCTTGGAAACACTATGTTCCAATTCAAAGGAATCTTAGTGACTTACTAGAGAAAGTTCAGTGGGCCAAGGTACGCTCTTGACGGTTTTCATTTCTTTAGGCAATGACAAATTCACCAGTATGGGTGACCTGAGTCACAGATTCTATTGACACAATTTAATTGGACAGAATGGAATCAAAAGAAATGTAATTTTCTGTTCCCTTGAAATAGCTAATGAATCAACAGTAGCATCACTTCTATCCCTCTGTCCACATTTTCGAGAATGTTTAGATTTGAGAATGTTCAATGTTAAATATAGATTTTCAAATGAATCACTATTTGTGTTCACATACCCAAAGAATACATGAAATGCAAAATACAGATAGAAAAGACCAGAATTAGAGTTAAAGGGCTTTATGTACAAGAAAAGGCAACTATGGTAGTTTCTTTTTTTTTTTTTCTTTTTTTGGCAGTACAGGGGGGCATTGAACTCAGGTCTTCATGCTTGCTAGACAGGCACTCTACCACTTGAGCCAGGCCCCCCCTCCATCCATCCTTTTTTGCTTTAGTTTATTTTTCATATAGGGTCTCGTGCTTTTGCCAAGTGCAGGCTTCAGACCACGATCCTCCTACTTTCACCTCCAGAGTAATTGGGATTACAGATGTGCACCAGCACACTCAACCCCCTCTTTTTTCCCCTCACATAGAAAAAAAAAACAAACAAGTTCTTTACTAGCACAAGGTGTACAACATCCCAAGGGTCACAAGTTTCCCATAAAATAGGATGCTTTTTGAAAAGGAACAGTATTAAAAAGCTGTTGGGTTTTATTATGTAACTATAAAAATTTACCCTCCCATTAAAAGACTTCACTCTCTTAAGTTTCTGAGAGTCAGTATTTGTTTATGGAAATAACTGAGCAGAATCATTTTTGTGATCCTTAGGAGAGCCACAATTACCAGCAAATGGCTTTTTCTATTGGCAACATGGTAGAAGATTACCTATTTCCCAAAAGTATAATTAGGGACAGTGACTCTTTAGTACAGCCTGTGGGTGCCGAGTCAGTGTTCTGGACTATAGCAATAATACAGTCTTTCATTGCGCTAACACTTTATAACAATTTTTTTGGCTCTAACCACATATTTAAATGATGCTTTTAACAGATGTTTTTGTATGAAATTTGATGCTTGCTACTCCTAAGCAGGAAAGTACCAGGATGGTCATGATGGAGGCTGCATGCAGGTGTTGCATTGTGGGGTGTGTGGAATCAGGCATCACAGAGCTATCTAGGAAAGTGTGCTGTTCCCACAGCCTCATCCATAAGCTGTGTTTTATTATGTTCTCTTTCTTCTGTGTTCGTATTCAACCCTGCATCTGTCCTACCTCCCACTTGTCCCTACCTTCCCTTATGAACTGTAGGAGTAATTTTCATTTATTTTTTTTTTTAAAAACCTTTCAGGAAAATGATGAAGAAGCCAAGCAGATTGCAAAAGAAGGGCAGCTGACTGCCAGGGACCTGCTACAGCCGCACAGGCTCTACTGCTACTATTTCAGAGTCCTACAGGTGAGTTCAGAGCATCCATCCTGGTGAGCCAGGGTCCTTAGGCCACATGCTGTGCCTTGAAGCTTTGTACCTTGCTTCCTGAAGCAGTCGCAGAGTCAGCGTATGGAACTCCGGCTCAGTGGAGGCCCCAGCCTGTGGAAGAAAGGCCAAGTGCTAAGTGCTTCTGTGGCCTCCCCAGTTTTAACCTCCATTCAATAGTATGAAAAACAATGCTTGAAGCCCATAAAAATACAGATTGTAAGCTTCTCCTGTCTTCCCAGTATTCTCTGTTAGTGTACGGCCTATGGAGGTGCTAGTTAAGGTCTTAATGCTCAGAGAACACCTTTCCTCATCTGGGAAAAGAGAGCACTGGACTCAGTGTCATTATACTTCACCTCCTCATGCTCCCTCCTCCTCAGGATCCATGCCCTTGCTAAGAAAGTACAGGGTAGAAAGCAAATATTTAGCTGACTAAGTAGCATAACCAAGACGATATGCACATACAGAATTGTCCTAATGCCTTAGGGTTAAATCCTGGTGTGCAAATGTTCATTGGGAATCAGAGGAACAGTCCTGTGAGTTTTACTCAGTAGAATCTAGACAGAAAGAGATTATGTTTTTGTTTTTGACCACCACTTATTTTCCTGTGGGTAGAATGAAAGTAAATGTCCTCAGATGCCTTCCTTTTCTTAGACGGGTCTATCCTCTTGGCTGGTCTGGCTTTAGTTTTAACAGTAGGATTTTATACCCCTAAAATATTATTAGACTCAGCTACTTTATATCACCATTTTGTCATGTTTGGCCCACTACCAGGAGTGTACAGCTAAATTTATACAGAACCAGTGAAATGAAATGCCCAATTTATAGGAATATTCCAGTCAGTCACCAGAGTGAAAGAATTTCACAGGCCTGTTGCCATTTTAAAAATGCATATGGGGGCTGGTACACTGGCTCAGAGGCAGACATACACAGGATCAAGGTTTGAGGCCAACTTAGACAAAAAGTTAGCAAGACCCCATCTCAACCAGCAATCCAGTCATGGTGGGGGTCACACATTATCCCAGCTACTGGGAGGCATAGGTAGGAGGGTCATGGTCCAAGGCTTCTCCCAGGCAAAAACTCGAGACCCTACCTGAATTAATTGAAGCAAAAAAGGGCTGGGGTGTGGCTTAAGTGGGGAGCAGCTGCCAAGCAAGCTGCAAAGCTGTGCCAAAAAAAAAAAAAAAAAAAAAAGGTTAAGACTCCAGGCCTTGAAGGAAGGATGTGTGTGACTACCCACTGTACCTTGACATGCTTATCCTCTTGCCGATTTGAATATTCTGTGTTAATTGTTCATTAACAAGTGGAGGAAAGTGCTAAGAGCTGCTGTTTGTTCAAGTAAAGAGCTTCTGTTTACACATTAAATTGCACTACAGTTCCTTGCTAGATTGGGAAATTTTGCACTGATGCCTACAGTAACTAGAAGTAAAACATGACTTTAGGACCAGACTAAGCCAGACCTTTCGTTTTGGTCTGAAGTATGACGTTTGGAGGTGGAGGTGTTAATTGAATGAAGCGTGGAGTGGTCCTTCAGTTGATTTCAAACACACCTTTCAGAAATACGCCGAGCGCCAGTCCAGCAAGCCTGAGGTACGTGATGGAATGGAACCCGTTCCTCAGCCAGGTGATGACATGTCCACCTGCTGGTGCCACCGGAAGAAGCCTTCGAGGGAGGAGCTTTAGGCAGCTCAGAGTCACACTCCTGTGTGTGCCAGCTCCATCTTTAAGGGCAAACAGGATAGATACTGAGCTGTGAAGAAAAGTGCAGAAGAAGCAAGGCCTGGTGGTCCATGCCTGTAATCCCAGCACTGGGGAAACAGACAGGAGGTCACAAGTGTTACCTAATATGTTTGGATATTCACTCCTTTTGAGTAAAAACTGCTCTTCCAGCATCAGTTTCTTTGAAAAGAGCACTTGAGGATCATAGAAGACAGACAGACGTGCCAAAATATAAATCAGCTCTGTGAATCTGTTGACATGACATTAGGAAATTGTCTAAATAAATGTTGGTAGATCAAGCACTGAAGGACAACCTTCGAAAAGAATGAAGTAGCTTTAATGAAAAACACCTGTTTTTCATTAAAAAAATGAAAGACACCTGTGACTGTGTTTTGTGAAACCATTTATGTAAAAACAAAATGGTGGACAGTTTGGAAGGAGATCTGCCAGTATGAGAAGGGGATGCAGAGAAGGGGTATTTTTAGTTTTTGCTTTCTACCTTTTTATAGTATTTAAATCACTTTTATGTAAGTGTGAGTGAAATTGTACACTAAAGAAAAATACAAGCATGGTAAAAGAATAAATGTACACAAAATAAGTGGAAAAAAAAATGGATAGTTGTATTTTCCTTTATGCTGGTTTTAGATCTGCCAGGTCTAGAATCTTATGTTATGGGTTATACTATATACACTTTTTAAATAAATAAAATTTTCCAAGGAAAAATTTGAAAATGATACGTATTTTTTTTTTTAAGAAAGAGATTGTCACCCTCTGTAGCCCTGGTATTTCCATAACTGAATTAGTCTAATTTTAGTTCTATTATATCTTCATAAACAAATGAACCAAAATTTCTGTTGACACACCCTCTCCCTAATTGGGCAGAAATTTAATATTAGAGAAAAAATATTTGGGTTTGACACTATTCGTTTCAGTTAATGGTGAAAATACAGCAAGGGTAGGCAGAGCAGATGGTCTTCAGGTGTAAGAAGGCCAAAGTTGAAAGAACTATAGTTTTTTTCTTTAGAAGGAAATCATCCTTGCGGCCATGAGGTATGTCTGACTTAAAAGAGTTCAGGAGCTCTTTGCCTGTAATCCTAGCTACTTGGGAGGCTGGGATCAGGAGGATTGCAGTTCAAGGCCAGCCTGGGCAAATAGTTTGAAAGACCCTATCTCCAAAATAACCAACACAAAAAAGGGCTGGCGGAGTGGCTCAAGTGGTAGAGCACCTGCCTAGCAAGCATGAGGCCCTAAGTTCAAACCCCAGTACTGCAACAACAAAAAAATTTCTGAGGAGAAAATGAGCCAGACCCTTGGTTAAAAATCCCTCTTCTGGGTGCAGACCCATAGTTTACACTTTCCAGTCACTACTGTCCTCAGCAGGTGTCAACCTCCTGTTGAGTCATTCCACACACTGAGATCAAAGCCAAAACTCCTCTAAGTGAAGTCCTCTCTGTAGAGTTGTGTGGAGAAAGGAACCACCAACTAGAAGCTAAAAGGTTACATTGCAACGTTTCTTAAACGCAAGAAAAGGGTTTCTTTATTCTGTAGGAAGAAATAGCAAATCCTGGAAGGGAGCAGTGGGCAGGATGGTGGGGGAGAGGTGGCATACATAGAGTAAGAGAGGTTTTTTAAAAAGGAATATTTTTGTGAGACATCTGCATACAGGTCGAGTACCCCTTATCTGAAATGCTTGGAACTAGAAGTGTTGCAGATTTCAAAGTTCCCCCCCCCTTTTGGCTTTTAGACTATTTGTACAGACTTTATGGGTGAGAATTTCTCATCTGAAAATCCTAAATCCAAAATCCTCCAAAAGTCAAGATTTCTAACATAATGGGTGGCACTCAAAAGGTTTCAGATTTCAGAGCATTTCAGACTTTAGATTTTTGGATTATGGATGTTCAACCAGTACCTCTACAGTTCTGCCCATGTGTCCGACTGGGAGCTGCAGCTGGCTACTACCTCCCAGCATCAGGAGATTGGGGTGTAGGGTACATTGCTAGCCCAGAAAAAAGAGCTCAAAATGCAAAATACGGTTTCTACCACATGTATATTACTTTTGCACCATCTGAAAAAAATGGTGAGTTGAAGCATTGTAAGTTGTGGCCTTCTGTACTTAATGATGAGTTTTACTGTAAAGGATACAGGTAGGGTAGGAGGGTAAGGTCTGGGACAGAGCACAGAACTCCATGCCCTCCCCATGGTTAGTAAGGACTTGTCACCTTCCCAGTATATCAATGTCTTTGCCCACCAGGAAGTGGGCTGTTGAAAGTCCCAACCTCCTAATCATGGCGCTTGGTCTTTCTGGTAACCATCTCTGGTTCTGAAGTCATCCAGGTGTTAACCACACGTAGTCCATTACCACAATGCAGACACGTCTACAACTTAGGAAATTCTGAGGGTTTTGGACACTCTGTGCCAGGAATCAGAGCCAAAGAGCAGGTATGTTCTAATTCCAACACCCCCCAGGGCCTGGGAACTGAGGACCATGTAAGCCATGAGACTTGATGTAAGAGCATGAAGTAGAAATGTTAGCTCCATTCCAGAAGGTCTGTTACAAGTCCTTGAGCCTTTCTGTGAAGATATTCATTAACCCAATCCCATCTAATTTAGTACAGGATTTACAGCAGAGGAGTACTTGAAATAGGCAGAGAGTAAGACTGACTTCATTCCATGGTTTCCAAGGGTTATTGCTCACCTTTATTGTACACTAAGGGGCAAGAAGCACCAAGCTCGGAGGACCATGAGTCAGCTAGAGAAATATGAAACCTGTTTTCTCTTCACACTTCACCTCATTCACTCAACTTTCATGTCTCCAAGATACTTAGTAGTGACAATCCCTGGCACTACCTGCATACTTGTATCACTAGCATGACAGCCATGAAACAGAAAAGAGCCTGCCCTCCAGATGGACACTAAATAAATCCCCCAAGGAAAAAAAGTTTGTTCTCTGCCCCATGTTTTTGTCATTTACCAGTGGGGATTCACCACGTGACTCCATGATTTGAAATAGTTTAGAAAGATAGGGAGACTTAGAAAGGGAAGACTATTATAACAAGATTCTCTTCTTGTCAGCACAATGAAAGTTTTCTGTCCTTCTGTTACATAAATTTTAAGGGAGGCCATGGATTTGGATACCTACACTGGGCCCAACAGACCCAACCAATGCCAAGGTCAGCAGCAGTAACTGAGCTTTGGCTGGTTGCAGAAGACCCTGTAGCCAGTTAACTGATTAAGTTATAAACAATTAGTTAAGCTGTAACCAACTGACTGGCCAACTAAGCTGTAGCCCGTTAAGTTATTTTCTAGGGCTTGTGTTTTCCAATAAATACTGTTGGACCAGTGTATTGGTGGAATTTTCAGAACATGCTTTTGTTCTGGAAGCTGCCTGACTCACAAATCGTTTTTGTTTGGCTTGGCTCAAATAAGTTCTACTAGATTTGTTGGTCTAACGTATTTTTCTTTACCAGTCTTGATGGTCATCAGAGTCTGAAGTAGACCTGCAGGGGCCCATAGAAGCATCAGGTAAGGCACCTAGCAAGCCCATTGTGCTCTCTTGTTTTATTTCTGCATCTAGGGATTTTGGGTAAGTTCTCTCAGGTGCCAGAGCTCTTTGGATTTATGTTTTGAGCTATCTGAGTTTGAGCAAATGCTTTAGGTTTTTGTTTGATGTTGTTTCACAGTGACTGAGCAATTTTTTGATCCAGACTGGGATTACAAGCAGTGACAAAACAGGACTGGGTTCTGTAGGGAATTCTCAGATGTGTAATATTGGTAAGAGTGAAAGTGAACTGGGTTTAGTAGGAACAGGGCTGGCATTCGTAGAGAGGACTCAGAGTTCATGGTTTTTGAGAAAAAATAGCAGACCCTTCAAAGAATAGATGGTGACCTGAAATAAGGCCTGTCTGGATGTGGCACATTCTCCCTACCTGGGTAAGAGTTAATCACCAGTTGACAGCATTTGAGTCCTGTTGGAGGCTCTGTCTTTAAATGAAGGGAAGCTTGACAGGCCTTACATTTTGCTGGGTTCCAGGTTCTTCAGTCTCATATGCTAAAGCCACATTTATTTGGAGTGGCATTCCTTGAAACCTCTCTGTGTGTAGGTTTGTTTAATGAGCAGATCAGGCATAGTCGCTAAGAACAAGGGAGCCATAATAGCAACTTCCCCAAGATCACATGCCCGACTCTCTGTAGTCCTGGCGCCCACTCCTGCCACCTCCCCAGTGGATGCGCCTACCATCTTCATGTTTAGAGGCTTCACATTGGCACCTTAAAATGGCCCATAGCGAGAGTATTTTTAACACCAGAAATCAGCAAATTAGAAACTAATTATTTTTATTTCTGAGAGCAGTTTACCAGGATATCACTGGATTACACAACTCTGCTAAAAAATGTAAATTGTCCTGCAGAAAAGAGATGGATACTTTATCATCAGCATAAGAAGACAGGAATAAGGAATTTCTAACTCAGATCTGGTGTGGGCCTTATATTGACTTTCATGTACTACTGGCATTATGGATTGCTAAGCCTCTTTTAAGAAAGCCAAAGGAATTCAACCACAGGCATGGGGGTAAGGAGGAGATATTTCTGTGCAAATAATTAGTGAAAGGTATCTTCTCCCTACCCCCAGTCTCTTCAGACTGCTGAGGTTCCCTTTGGTTTCCTTGAGGTCACTGCTGGACTCCTGCCTTTGATCCACATCCATTCCTTATATGTGACATTGTCACTCCTTCCCATCTCTCTTTCTTTCTCAGTGTAGCCCTGGCTGACCTCAAACTCCAGATTCTCCTGGCTTAGACTTCCTAGGCTACAATTTTAGGCATGAGCCACCCTGCCCGGTGACATTGTGGTTTTCTACTACGTGAAAAATATTTCATAATTGTAGAAGATTCCATATTGCCTGGGTAGTCTTGTCCACTAATGGGGTTTGTTCCAGTGTCCAAGTGGCAGAGGCAAGAAATGGAAGACAGCTTGAGTCCTTTCCTGTGTTGCAAGTATTTCCTCTTCTCTCCTGCCAGCTCACCTTATTTCCCATTTCTTGTCTTTGCCTTCTAACTGGAAAGCAAAAATACTGATTTTATAAATATAGTACTTTATACTAAGTAGTGTGTAGTATATATATATGTGTGTGTGTGTATGTATGTATAATAAGAAGAGGAAGAGAGTGAGCAGACAGAGGAATGGAGGGAAAGAAGCAACAACTTCAGTGAGACTGCCTACAAGTTCCTGAGTTTGGTTTCCTGGTAACCTGTCCCTAGATTTCAGCAGGTGCACATACCCAAGGAAACAAAACAACCGAAGGGTTTGCATTTTAATGATTCTATGTGGCTACTTTAAAGAAAGATGCTTTTGAAAAATTGAAAGATTTTTAGAGCAATAAGAAAATACCTGAGCCTTTTACAGAATTTTTTTGGAACAGGTTAAAAAACGTACTCAAATAGTAACTATTATTTTTAGTGTGTATATATATTTTTTAATAATTCAAACACTTCATTAAAATATAGTCAGTTCTAAAGTAATATATAAACAAGATGGTATAATTTAAATGCATCTTACATTTCATTCGCTACATTAAAAATCTTTATTCCAAATTATTGGCTTAGTTTTATAGGTTTTTTTAAATTCTCTAAACTATGATCAATACATGTAAATTTACTATTCTAAACAATACAGTTCAGTGGGGTTAAATGCACTCACATAGTTGCAAAGTTTTGTAGCTTGGAATTAAAATTTTAAGTCCAGTTTGAACTAGATTAAAAGTTACAAGTGAATATAATGTTTCCATGTCTAGGTTTTTAGTTCAGTATTCATGGCTACTGTGGCTTACTGCATGATGGCAGCTACATGAAAGGGAACTAAAACTCATCCCTGCTTGAGATTGTGAAAATGACTTTAAGGAACTCTGGGATCTCAGTGAGTCACTGAATGAGCCTACAGGGAATATCTTCTACACAAATGTGTTTATTATATAGGGAAGAAGGTTTGCCTTACAAATTATATTACAGGTATGTGCATTGTGTGGAAGGGAAGGACAGCAGGACTGGGCAGTTCTGAACAAGATTATTCCATATTGTGATAATTTGTCACTAAAGAATTGCCCAACTGTCTGATATTCAAACCAAATGTGCATTAGATATGAAGTATAATTTTTGAAAACTCCTCTACGGTCTAACCTAGTTTCACTTAAATGCTGGTTTGGGTTTTACCAACTAGGGAGGAAGCTTAAATTTAGAAACAGCAGTGGCACTCGTATGTTACCTATTTTCAGACTTCCATCAAGACCTGCCCAATGGCTGGGACTAGTGTTATTTATAGATGAATAACCTGAATTAATTAGAAAAGATGCCACTATATTTCTCCCAACATCCTCGAGATCCTTGGTGGAAGTGACCAGGCTTTATAATGCATGAACAACAACGTCATGGAGTCACTTTGATTTCCCCTCCCAAACCCTTGGCCTCAAAGGCACTGACGTCGAAGCTCCTAACAGAAGCTTGGAGGAATGACGTAGGCCGGGGGCGGGGCCTAGGGGGCGGGCAGAGGGCTGGGGTGAGACGGACAGCTCGGTTTACGTCATTTCCCGCTGCGTCGTTACCATGGGAACAGCAGAGCCAGGCCTGCGGAAATTGGCCAGCGAAGAGATGGCGTCCCCTCCCTCTCAGCGCGTACCGCTCCCGGGCCACTCGCTGGTGTGGCCGCTCGTGTGAGCCTTGCCCAGGCCAGGGCCATATGGGCCCACGCCCTTGATGTCTGTGTGCCCATCCATTTGTTCTTCCCAGATTCTTAGGTTAGTAGGTTTTTTTGTCTTTTGCCCTCAGTATAAGGGACCACAGGTGTTGAAAGGAAAAGTGAAGTTACAAAACTGATGAAAAGACCATGAAACTAATTTGTTTAGTCAGTAAAAAATGTAGTGGGGAAAAAAGGAAGTGTAGGTTCTGAGTCGAACAGATTAGTTTTACGATTGTTTTACAGTTTTTAAAGTAAGAAAAGAATAAAAACACATGGGCTTTTCTCATGAAGTCTTGGATCCCGGGAAGTCAGGCTCTATTGAAGTAGGTATCAGTGACTTGTGATGGTATCGCCCAAAGTAGGTAACACACTTGCAAAAAGCTTTCCCTCTGACTCTCTGAGTGCTGCTGGGTGGAGCACAACACATCGTTATCTAAGCAATGGTTTAATAAAACTTCACTGTAACGTGAAATTTATAAAGAGTCATAATAACCATACGAAATGGGTTTTATTTCTTGTCTAAGGCCAGCAAACTGTTGTACTCCCCTTTCTGTTCTGGACTGTGTCCTCTTAATACCTACTCAAAGACTTGAACCTGTAAAGTTATCCCTCCCTTGCACCTTTCATTTCTCCTCTATTAGATCATACTTAAAAATATCTTAACATGCTTTAGCATTTCCTATAAAGAAGGAAATCTCTTGAATCCATTCCCATACTCCAGCTACAGCCCATTTCTCTCTTCTTCATAACCCTCCAAAGACATTACTGTGTTTACTGTCCCATCTTTCACCCTTCCTCAACCTATCTCTGCCTTCCCCCCACACTCCTCTCAAACAGTGCTTAAAAGATCAGTGAGTTTTCTGACCAAATCTAATTCTTTAGTCTCAACTTACTTGATCCTCCAGCAACGCTTGATACATTGAGCTTCATCAGAGAATAATTTTGAATACTGGAAGATATTTCCTCGTTTTGTACTATGCATGTGTAATGGTGACATATATGCTGCACTTTTAATACGCACTGTTGACATTGTCACCATCTCTTAAATCTAGTCAGCCAAGAAAACGTTAAACCAGTTACTGATTTATAATACTGATTTATAACAATTTCTATGATACAAATGCGCCACCACGGTCAGTTTCAGGTACCATGTGGCCTCAGGAATTGGGAAGACACCGGCAGCATTGTACTATTAACAGTATTTCCACTACCTGGATCCTACAGAGCACTGGGCCTTAACAACAGCATCTGGAGAAACTTTGGGTTGTCACCGCTGTGCTTGTGGTATCTGGTGGACAGAGGAGGGGATCTTCTAAACACCCTCTCCGGCACAGAGCAATTCCCACTACAAAATAATAACCTGGCCCAAAATATCAATAGTATCGCTCTTAAGAAATCCTGTAGTAAGCTTAAAAACCTCGGGAGAATATTGTAAATAGTAGTGAACTATAGCAAAACGTTCCCACATGGTGAGTGTTGAGTACTATCTTCATGAGTTTAATTTGCTATCATTATTTACGGCTGAGTGATAATAGCTTAGGTTTTTCCATTTCTCCTGTACTCCTTCAGACTGACACATTTAAAACATGAGTCAGATCATGTCTCACAGATCATTAGTTTTGTAAAATAAAACTATTTTTAAAAGGAAAAAACAAAGCACACAAACTGACAAGCTTGCTGATTGTGTGTTTGTATGTGACGACAATGTCAAACATTCCTAACTACTCAATTTCTTTATCTCATTTGGTAGGCACAACGTACGATCTGTGTACCTCTTCCTCCTCATACCTGACACCTTACCCTCTCTCTTAACTTCTCACATTAAGTCTGCAATATGGTGGTGTTCTGATCATGGCAAACTAAATTACAAATCCTTCTTGTTATTCATTATAAAAGTGAGCAAAAACGAGCTTTTAAATTCACTTCTGTAGCCACTTAATATTCACATACATATGTGTGTTTGCATGTATTTGAATAGGGGAGGGGCATATCATTTAAACTTTTTAAAAAAAACTGAATATTATGATAAGAGCCATTTCCATGTCAGTATGTACAGTCACAGCATCATTGTAAATATCCTCAGAGAATTCTATTGCATGAATGTATAACTATTTAACCAGTCCCCTGTTCAGTCTTTTGCTGATTGCCTACTATCTGCTAGCAATAAACAAGAAGAAAGACCCTGGTCTGGAGGGAATTTGCATTGAGGGATGAGACAGACACATAAATAAATATATTCAACAGATATGACAGTGGTTCTTTCAAGAGGAGATATTAACCTTCTGGGCAGTGTCTAAATATAAATACCCCTTATCCTGTATCACAGGAGAAGCAGGAAGCAGGTATCTACAGAAAACCTGGGTGAATTTAGATCAAAGTGCCTGATAAACATGTTCACACAGTCAATTCAAAGGAATTTTTTTTTAAGTGCAGGGCTAACCAGACGTAGTAGTTCATGCCTGTAATTCCATCACTTGGGAGGCTGAGGCTGGAAGATCATGAGTTTGAAGTCAGCATGGACTACTTAGCACAGCTAAGTCTCAAAAGAAAAAAGAGTATGCACATGCAATTCTTGACACTATTCAATTGTCCTAAAAATGTTTAATTTATGCCCATAAACATACTATGGAATTGCTTAATTCTAAATTTTACAGAAGTAAAAAACTGAATATAAATGGGACATTAGGATTATAAAGGGCCTTTTAATATTCTTTCCAAGCACTAAACTGTGTGATTATTTTTATCTGTTTCAGTGCATATTATCGGTTTCAATATATAAAGCAAAAAAAACTTCATACATGTGAAATCACGTTATACCATTGGTGCTAATTCAAGAAAATTTCAGCATTTTTCAAAATAGATTCCCAATTTTGTAGGTAAAAATTTAACCCTGGTTTTGTGTGTGTTGTCATCTTGTTTTGAGACAGGGCCTTGCTTTGTAGTCCAGGCTGGCCTTGAACTCAGGATCCTCCTGCCTCAGCCTCCTGAGTGCTGAGATTATAGACATGTACCATCATGCCCAATCTTTTCCTTTTTAAAAATGAATATATATTCATTTTGTGAGGAAACAGCATAAAACATACACTGGAATCTTTCATTCTTGAACCCTGGTCACTTGTCCACTGTTCTCTCTCCAGAGAGAATCACTCTCAGCAATTTGTTTGATCCCCTTCAGAACCAATTCAAATACACACACACACACACACACACACACACACACACACATCTTTCATCACAAGATACAAAAAAATCTATCCTACAAAAAATAGTTGTGTGTATACACAATATGTGTTCAAAGATACTCATTTTGGAATTTTAGCAAGAAAAAAAGACTATGAATGTCCAATAATGGAGAAAAGATTAATACATACAAACCAAGGGATACTGTGCAACTATAAAAAGAATGAGAAAATCCATATTAATATGGAAAAGCCTCCAACACATGTTAAGAAAAAAGGAGGATTATGTAGAGTTTGATCCCTTTAATGCAAACAAATCTGTATGTATGTGTTCATATATGCACATATATGTACAAATACAGGTGTCTACATAGGATGTGAGTATAAGTGTATACTTATATATGTTTTTAAGTTTTAACTCTGTGCAGTAGTACTGAGTCCTCATATTTTATTAGTGAGTAACCTGCAGTTTGAACAAGTTAAATAACTTACACAAGATCACAGCTAAGTATGAAGTAGCATCTATTGATTTAAATCCTGGTCTGAGCTAGTGACAAGAACCTACACTCCCAGCACTCAGGAGGCTCCAGCAGGACGATCACTTGAACTCAGGAGTTTGAGACCAGCTGGGCAACATACAAGACCCTAGCCCAAAACAAACCAACCAAACAAATGAACCCCACAGCCCAGGCTTATCTTTCTTCAAAGACCAAAGGCGTTATCTGTCTCCTCATGCTTCCTATATTATTACAACTCTTTGTAAGAAAAGAAAAAAGGCATGACTTATTTCTCATGGGGATCTTTCCCCTTGCTGTCAATTTCAAAACCTGAACAATATACACAATTTGGATGAAACATCTTTGGTTTCAGGCTTCCAAATAATTTTAACTATCAAAAGAGAAAAACTGATAGAAAATGTGTGCTCTTTCTGTTTGATCTGTGTCTGTAAATATTATACACTCATTAGGTGTATATTGTGTGTTCAGATAGGTCAGGGCTTTGGGGATTGAGAAATCTACACATTTTGCATCGTATAAATAACAGTTCAGAATTTTAAATTTTAAAGCACAATTTGTTCATACTGGATTACGATAAAGCATTTAAGAACCATATTACTAGTGTGGATGAAAGAGGGATATTATTTCACTGTGAGGTATGAACACCTCTGAGATTAAAAATCCATGTCTCCCTGTCTTTAGTGCAGCCTCCCTTTTTTCTTTATATTTGACCATTACTTAAAAATGTTATGAATACCATGCATCTCCTCTCATTATATATGGAAAAAGAAAACTATGCATAATTTATATGACCTACACAAACAGAAAATTCATACTCTTCTCCATTGATAACACTAGAGCAATACTGAATAATTTTGTCATGACCTAGCTATTCAAGATTGAAAGAGGTGCTTTTTAGAGTAATGACATTTAAGCAGCATAAATAAGAATTTACCTTACTGAAATTTGTTAAAGGATTCTTAAATTAGAATGTCTTTCTCTATCACTAATTCTTTACAGTGTGAATAAAAATTGTGAATTCGAAGTACTGATTTTGCTTTGCTCCTTAACAACCAATCTCAATCTTTCTCTCTCTCTCTCTCTCTCTGTTAGGGGTCTGGGAAACTATGTAGATGCAGATTAAGAAAAGTGTATTTCAGGGCCAGGTGATGGTTTATACCTATAATCTCAGCTACTTGAGGGGCAAAGTAAGGAGGATCACAGTTTGAGGCCAACCTGGGCAAAAAGTTAGGGAGACCCAAACTAACTCTCAGAAACAAGTCAAATGTGGTGATGTGCACCTGTTATCCCAGCTTCTAGGGAGGTGGAGGTAGAGGATTGAGGTTTAAGGCCAGCCTAGGCAAAGTTAGAGACTTTATCTGAAAAAAAAAAAAACCATAAAGGGCTGGTGTGTGACTCAAGTGGTAGAGCATTTGCCTAGCAAGCGTGAGATCCTGAGTTCAAAACCCAGTACCGCCAAAAAAAAAAGTTTATTTCAAGTTATATATAAAATATGTACAGACCACGGGTGTTAAAGGCAAATGCACTGGAGTTCAGTGCTGGCTTCGTTAATATTTGCCCTTGGGCCTTGAAGCTCAGTCTCCTCATCTCTAACACAGCATATTAAAATCTGCTGTGCAGAGGAGTTGTTGAGATTAGGAAAAATAAACAAAGTGGAACATACCAAGCAATCAATAATAGGTGACTATTTTTATTGCAGTTACTTTGATACCAAACCTCATTTTCATTGTTTCATTTATACAACTCTAATTTCTGTTGTGTTCTAGTGACAGTTTCACAGGAGAACATAGAAAATAACTTTTTTTTTTTTTTTGGTGTTACTGGGGTTTGAACTTGGAACCTCACATGTGCCAGGCAGGCACTCTACGTCTTCAGCCATTCTCCCAGCCCTCTCTTTGTACTGAGTATTTTTGAGTTAGGGTCTCACTTTTTCTGTCCAGACTAGCCTCAAACCATGATCCTCCTGATCTCTGCCTCTTAAGTAGCTAGGATTACAGGTGTGAGTCACTGGTGCCTGGATTAAAGTAATTTTAAACATACCCATTTTGTTAATTTTCATTTAGGATTTTCAAATGTCCAAGGAAGAGGAACCAGAACTTAAAAAGCAGGATATAGCTGCGAGAATCATTCAGAGGTCCTGGAAATGTTTCCTTGTGAGTTTATTTACCCACTTCATTAAGAAATAACATAGATGTCACAAAATTCACTGGTTTAAAGTGAATAATTCAATAGATTTTTGTATGTTTATTAGAATTGTGTACTGCTCTTTGCTTTAAAAGCCAACTTTCAAGTTTCAAAAAGTTACAGTCAAGTATTTCATTCACTTCACTCATTTTTATTGAGTTCCTGCCCAGGCACTTTGATGATGACTGCTGTCACTAAAAGTACCACTATGAGGCTCGTTGACTTTGACCTCTTAAATACTTAATTTCTCAACTTGGGAATCACATTCATGAGCAGGTATTAGAGATACATCTATCCACTCAGTATGGACTGAGTGCAACTCTTGCAGAGCTTATTGTGTAAGGATACATTTTTTTCTGGGTTTCGTGGACAGATCTGGTTTCAGTATAAGCAATAGTGCAGGTTGACTTACACAGTTGTGTACTCTGTCTGTGCCTGGTGGTGATTATTATTATTATTTTACACGTGTGTTTGGTGCTGGGGATCAAGCTCAGGGCCTCACACATGCTGCACAAGCCTCTGTCACTGGGCTTCACCCCTGAGGAGTGTATGATGCTGTATGTCACTGTTACTAGCATAGGAGACCATCGTAGCACCAATTAATCAAATCTTGAAAATAGTCTGTTCATTTGCCTCTAGAAAAGCCATTTTGAATTGACTTTTACACAAGGTGAGAGATAGGCACACGTGGATATCCAGTTTTCCTAGAACAGTTTGTTAAAGAGGATGTCGTTTTCTCAGTGTATGCTGTGGCACCTTTGTCAAGGATCAGATAGCTGTACCTGTGTGAGTTTATTTCTGGGTCCTCTGTTATTGGGTTACACATCTGTTTGTGTGCCAGTACCATGCTGTTTTTATCACTATGGCTCTGTAATGCAGTTTGAAGTCGGGTGTTGTGAAACCCCCAGTATTGCACTTTTCACTCAAGATGGCTTTGGCTATTCAGGGTATTTTCTGCTTCCATATGAAATTTAGAATTATGTTTTTTCTATTTCTGTGAACAATAACATTGGAATTTTGGGAAATTCATTGAATCTGAAGACTGCTTTTGGTAATTTATTTATTTTAGAAACTCATCAGTTTTCAGAAGTTTTTATTTCTTTTTTGCAAACTTATTAGTGTATAGAAAATGTGCTGATCAATTTGCATATTGATCTTTTAAATTTTGTGTAAATTAACTGCACAAAGGGGCTCTACTGGGCTATTTCTGTACTTGTGTACAAGGTACACAAATTCACCCCATCTATTACATGCTCTTAACCCCTTCCACCCTTTACAACAGTATTTAGTGGGTTTTGTTATGCTGTCTTCATACACACATACCATATATGTGTGTGTATATAAAATTATATATTTTATATATTTATTTATAAATGTTTATAAATGTTACATTTATTTATGTGCATATGTAGAGAGAGTTTACCTCCATCATGTTTACTTTCTCCTTTCACCTCCCCCCACTCCCACTTGTTCCCCACAACAGACTACTTTTACAGTAGTGCCCCATTATTATCATCATCATTTTAGATCTAGATTCTGCATATGAGTGAAAACATGTGATTTTGGCTTTTTGAGTTGGACTTATCTCTCCAAAGTGGTGATCACCAGTTCCATCCATTTTCCTGTGTATGGCATGATTTTGTTCTTCTTTAAGCTGAGTAAAACTCCTGAGTACACGTGCGTGTATGTCACATTTTCTTTATTCATCAGCTGTTGGGCACCTAGGCTAAAGCTGTAGCTTGCCTATTATATGGAGTGCAGTGATAAACCCGAGTGTACACTTATCTGGATTGTCTGCTGATGCACACGCCTTTGGATGTATACCTAAGAGTGGTAGAACAGGGTCATAGGGTAGTTCAATTTTTAGTTTTTTTGAGAAACCCTTATACTGATTTTCATGAGATTTGCACTATGAAAATTTACATTCACACCGCAGTGTAAGGCTTCCTCTTTCCCCTGCATCTCCATCAGCATTTGTTGTCTGTGTTCTTGCTGGCAGCCATTCTGACTGGGGTGAAGTGGAATCTCAATGTGGTTTTGATTCACATTCTCTTTATGGCTAAGGAGTATTTATTAGGCATTGGTACTTCTTCTTTAGACAGCTGTTCAACTAATTTGTTCATTTATTAACTGGATTACTCTTTTGGTATTTAATGTTTTAAGCTCTTCATATATTCTGGATATTAATCCTTTCTCCCATGCTGTGGCCTGTCTCTGCATCTGGTAATGACCTCCATAGATGTGCAGCAGCCTTTTAATTTGATGCACTTCCGTTTGTCAATTCTTGCTCTTATTTCCTGGGCAATTAGACTCCCATTCAGAACATAGTTACCTATGCCTGTTTCTTCACATGTTTTCCCTGTATTTTCCTGTAGTAGCTCAAAATTTCAGATCTTACATTAAATGGTGATAATCTGACCTTTATTCTTTGTATCCCTTTCTTTTACCTTATTTCTTTGGGTAGACATTCAAGCACTGTATTGAATGAGAGTGCAGAGAGTGAACACTTTTGTCTTTTTCCTGACGTTAAAGGAAATGCTTTTGCTTTTCCCTGTTTGGAATGATGTTGGCTGCAGGTTTTTCACTACAGCCTTTATTATGTTGAGGCTTGTTATTTCTATTCCTAGTTTATTGAAGTTTTTATCATGAAAGGATTTTTTGTCGTTAATATTTTTATTAGGATATATTCATTGTACAGGGTGATACATTGTGACAATTTCAAAAAGGTTTATATTGTACATTGATTAGATCACCCCAATGTGTCTCCCCCTCATCCTCCCTATCTCACTTAAAGCAATCGCAACAGGTTTCTTTGTTCTATTTCATAGAAGTATATGAAGTCCATCAACCATACACCCTCACCTTAATATCCTTCGTTCACTCTCCCCCACCCTCCAACTACTCCCCCCACACACACTGTACCTATTTTACAGTCCTGTCTTTCACTATTAATATCTAAGTTTATGTTCAAAGAGTTTTCTTAATGTATCCCCGCTGTGAGTGTACTTTACTTTGGTCCATTCAACTCCTTCCATTGCTCTCCCTTAACCCTTTACCTCCCACCCCCCCATTTTCAACAGCTTTCAACACACATCCTTATTCTCTACCGTCACAGATGTTATGTTTACAATATTGTTGATGCTTTATCATTTTCGTTTTCTTTCCCTCCTTCCCTGAGTTCCAGAGAGTAGTTCTACTATTACAAACACATTCTACATATGAGTTTGTATATGATCATGCTTGTTTTTGTGTATATGTTTGTCTTTAGATCAATCATCCACATATGAGAGAAAACGTGGCCTTTGTGTTTCTGAGCCTGGCTTACTTCACTTACCATGTCCTACAGTTGCACCCCTTTACCTTCAAACTACATGGTGTCATTATTCCTTTTGGCTGAGCAAAACTCCATTGTGTATGTATACCGCATTTTCTTGTTCCATTTATCAGTTGTAGAGCACCTGGGTTGTTTCCATAGCTTTGCTATTGTGAACAGTGCTGCAATGAACATCGGTGTACAAGTGTCTTTATTGTGAGGGACATTGATTTTTGTATCTATTGAGATGATCATGTGATTTTTGTTCCTTATTCTGTGTATGTGCTTTATGTTTATTGGCTTGCATGCGTTGAATTATCCTTGAATCTTTGTAATGAAACCAACTTAATCTTTTTATCTATGATCTTTTTAATGTATTTATAAATTTGGTTTGTAAGTATTTTATTGAGAATTTCTATGTCTATGTCGGTTAGGGAAATTGGTCCATAAATTATGTTCTTTTTCTGTTTTGGTATCAAGGTAATAACTGACTTTGCAGTGTTCCTTTCTATTTGATGGGTTAGTTTGAAGAGTATTGGTGTTAGTTCTTTAAAGGCCTGATAGAATTCAGCAGTGAATCATTCAGTCCTGGGCTTTTCTTTGTTGAGAGAATCTTTATTACGGTTTCAATCTCTGCTTGTTATAGATCTGTTTAAGTGGTTTATAACCTCTTGGTTCAATTTTGTAGGTCAAAATGCATCTAGAAATTTGTCCAATTCTTCTAAATTTTCCAGTGTATTATAACATGTTTTCATACTATTATCTAATGATCCTCTGAATTTGTTGATACTTCTTTTTATTCTCTAATTTTATTAATGTGTATCTTTTTGTTTTTGTAAGTTTGGCTAAGGGTTTATCAGTCTTATTTATATTTCTAAAGAACCAACCTTTTATTTTATTAATCAATGAAATTGATTACTGTCTTTGTAGGCTCCATCTCATTAATTTCTACCCTGATCTTTATTATTTGTATCTGTCCACTAATTTGGGGTTTGGTTTATTCTTGTTTTTATAAGAGTGTCAGGTGTATCATCAGGTTATTTATTTGAAATGTCTCTGGGTTTTTGTTTTTGTGGTACTGGGGTTTGAACTTGGGGTCTTGCACTTGCTAGGCAAGTGGTCTATCACTTTGAACCAAACCCCAGTCCTCCTTATGTTTTGTTGTTTTGTTTTGTTTTTGATTTTAGTATAGGTGTTCAAAGCTATAAATTTTCCTCTTAGCCTTTGCTGTATTCCAAAGGTTCTGGTAAGTTTTCATTTTCATTTGTTTCTAGGAATTTTATTTTCCCCCTTATTTCTTCAGTGACCCACTGGTTAATCCACAGTATATTATTCAATCTCCATGTGTTTCAATATTTTCTGTTTTGTTTTTTCTTTTTTTGCTGTTGTTTTTCAGTTTTATTTCATTTGTGGTCTAATAAAATACAGGAGGTTATTTCACTTTACTTGTATTTAAAACTTGCGTTATGTCCCAAAATGTAGTATATTTTGGAGAAAGTTCCAAGGACTGCGAAGAAGAATGTGCATTGTGCATCTGTTGGATGAAATATTCAAAAGATATCTGTTAAGTCCATTTGGTCTATACTGTTTAATTCTGAAGTTTTTAAAATTTATTTTTCTGGATCACTTATCTATTGGTGAGAGTAGAGTACTGAAGTCATACACTATTATTGTGTTCAGGGTCTATCTGTACTCTTATGTCCAGTAGTGTATGTTTTATGAAAATGGTTGTACCAATGTTTGGATATATATTTATCATTATTATCTCCTCTTGATGGATTTTTTTTCCTATATTTATATGAAATGACCTCCTTTGTCTCTTCTGACTGATTTTGGCTTCAAGTCTGTTTTGCCAGATCTGAATATAGCTACTCCAACTTGTTTTGAGGCTGTTTGCTTGGGTTATCTGTTTTCATCTTTCACTTTAAGTTTGTATCTGTCTTTTTGCAAGTGAGGTGTATTTCTTGTAGGAATCAAATGGTTGGGTTTGTTTTTTAATCAAACTTGACATTTATGCCTTTTGATTGGACATTGGGACCTTTACCATCTAGTATTATTATTGAAAGGCATATAATAATTCTTAGCATTGTGTTGTTTTGTGATATTTACTTCTTAATTCTCATTTGATTTTCTACTCATCTGGTTGGATTGATTCTTTCCCATTTTCCTGGTTGCATTTATCTTCATCTTCTGGGTATACTTACTTTTAAGTATGTTCTGCAGTGCTGGTTTAGTGGCCATGAATTCCTGTAGTTTTTTTTTTATTGTGGAAAGTTTTTACTTCTTTAGTTATGAAGCATAGCTTTGCTGAATATAGTAGTCTAGGTTGACAGTTATTTTATTTCAGGGCTTAGAATATATCATTCCAGGGCTGGTGGAATGGCTCAAGTGGTAGAGTGGATGCCTAGCAAGCATTGAGGCCCCAAATTCAAACTCCAGTACTGCTGAAAAAAAAATATATGTATCATTCCATGCCTTCATTGCTTTTGGAGTTTCTGTTGAGAAACCTGCTGTTATTCTGATGGTGTTGCCTGTATCTGTGACCCATAGCCTTCAATAGTCTTTCTTTGTTTTGTATATTTGGTGTCTTAACTGTAATATGCCTTGGACAGGTTCTTTAATGATCTCATCTGTTTTGTGTTCTTAGCTTCCTGTAGCTGGATAATCCTCTTTATTCATATTGAGAAAATTTTCTGCCATTATTTTATTGAATATCTTATCTATGCTTTTAGCTTACACATTTTCTCCTTCTTTTATACCCATAATACATAGGTTTTGTCTTTTAATAGTGCCCCAGAGTTCTTGCCTATTCTGTTTGTACAATCTTAGTATTTTTTCTGTCTTTATATGAGTGTTCTACTTCCTCTATTTTATCTTCAAGTCCTGACATTCTATCTTCACCTCATTCTACTGTAATAGTGAAGTTTTCAACAGAGTGGTTTTTTTTGGGGTGAGGGGGTTGGCTTTTCCTTTCCAGAATCTCTGTTTAATTTTTTGAGCATTTTTGTCTTTATTGAGTTCTACTCTCATATCCTACATTTTCTTCTTTATTTAGCTTTTTGTTTGAATTCTGAGTTTATTCAGCAGCTATTTGTATTCTCTTTGAAATAATTCAGGTGTTTATACATGTCTTTTAATTTTGTTGATGATCATTCTTTTGAGTTCATTGTTTGATATTTTATCCACCTCACTGTTGTTCAAGACCTTTATTGTGGAATTGTTGGCTTTTGAGAGACATGTTCCCTTGTTCTTTCATATTACTTGTAGTTTAGCTTTGTGATTTGTGCAACTGAAGCCATGTTTTTGGTTAGAGGTTTTAATCTCCTGTGTCCTTTCAGTTGAATCCTTTCCCATGGTTTAGGCAAGGCTGGGTAGTGTCTGAGTTGTGATTTATTTTCTCAGCAGTGGACTGGTGTGTGGCTCAGTAGTGAAACTTTTTCCCACAGTGCTCAAGACATTGTGTCTAACCCCCTACACTATTCAGGAAGAAGACTAGCTATAGAAGCAATCATAGTTGATAGGCACACCCACTATGAGAATATGGTAATCCCTAATTGAGAAAAATCACCAGGTGCTAATTGCTCACACTTATAATCCTGGCTGCTTGGGAAGCTGAGATCAGGAGAATTTTTGGTTCAAGGTCAGCCTGGGGGAAAGTTCATGAGATCCCATCTCATCCAGTAGCTGGACATGGTGGCATGTGCCTGTCGTCCCCAGTCACATGGGAGGCCAAGATTGGAAGGATCCTGGTCCAGATCAGCCTGGCCAGAAAGCAAGATCCCATCTCCAAAATAATTGGAGCAATAAAGGGCCGGAGGGAGGTGTAGCTCAAGTGGTAGAGTGCCTGCCTAACTAGTGTGAAGCCCAGAACTGCCAAAAGAAAAGTCATCATCGCTGCTACAGTATCTTTAGATGAATAAAGGACCAAAAACAGTACCTCATGAACTAGGAAAACATTTGTTAACATGGGTAGTAATGGACAGAAGATAGGAAGGATAATACTAATGAATAACATGTATGGTTAATAAAGATGGAATGGGTGGCAGCTCAGTATATACAGGGTGGGTAATGAGAAAGAAGGAAATAGAAAGGATTCAGCTAAAGGTATAGGTGAAGAAAAAAGGAGAAAGAGATAAGTGACCTGACAATCTAACAACCTGCCAAAGACAGTGTCAACAAAGAAAGTTGTGGATAGAGGACAAGAGAGACAAGAAAAATGAGAACTAATCTAATTTCAAACAGAAAGAAAATAGGTCTGGGGAGGGGTGATAGGAAAGGAAGGGTAAGAGATGATTAAAATTGAATATTAAAAGATGGGTGTTGGGGATCATGTATGATGGCTGCAAAACAAAAAATAAAAAGAGAGAAAAAATGAAGAACAAAAAAAGAAAGCTATCTTTACTATCCACACCTTCCCGTTGCATTCTGATCTGAGCTTCCATCAGAATCACCCATGAAGCTGTCCTTCCAGCGACACAGGGCTTCTCTAGCTTACATTTCCAAAATCTTCCAACATTTCCAAAATCTTTCAAATTGCTCCTGAAAACAAGTGCTAAAGGCCAGTGAGCCACATGGCCAGGTTCAGTCATAGGAACAACCCCACTTCTCTGCTACCATTTTTCTGCATTACTCACTTCTGTGTCACTGTCACCAAAATACCAAGGAACTAAGCACAGAGATATTGAGCAACTTTTCCTGGGTCACACAGCTAGCAAGTACCCAGATAATATACTCTAGCCAGGTGCTGGTGGCTCACGCCTGTAATCCTAGCTATTCAGGAGGCAGAGATCAGAAGGATCATGGTTTGAAGCCAGCCTAGGGAAATCGTTTGCAAGACCCCTATCTTGAAAATACTCGACACAAAAAAGGCTGGCAGAGTGATTCAAGTGGCAGAGTGCCTTCCTAGCAAGCCTGAGGCTCTGAGTTCAAAACCTCAGTACCACCAAAAAAATAGTATGCCATACTCAGTGGTCTCAACCACTGTCTGTGTTTTATTTATAGCTAGTGGTGGTTCAACTGTGAATTTAACAGTAAGACTTTTGTAGAATAATGCTTGTCAAAACAAACCCAGAGTGGACAACAGATCTAAAATCTAGTTTGTAACATAAAATCTATTTTCATAAATTTTATTTTTGCCCTAATTATGCAAACAACTAATCAGAGATAGAAAATCCAGTTTTTACCATAAAATCTTATGTGTTTGACCCTTTAGAATGTTGCTATATTCCAACACTTGAAAAGACTGATTGACTTAAGAAGACAAGGGGAGCCACGTCAGATAGTGAGACATATCAATCCTAAAGAGGTGAGGACATTATTTGTTGAAATAACATTTTATTTTTTCCTTAAGATATGCATGGTTCCTTTACCAATTCAATATGCCCATATTTGTTTCTTTGAATCCAGTTTTTATTGAATTATTACTTGTTAAAAGCTATGAAGCACAAATAAATGAGGACCAGGCGTGTGGGGCAGGCTCTAATCCCAGTTACTCGGAAGGTGGAAGTAGGAGGTCATGGTCTGAGTCCTCCCCAGGCAAAAGTGAGAGACTGTACTTGAAAAATAAACTAAAGCAAAAAGGGCCAGGGCTACAACTCACATGTCAGAGCGCCTGCCTAGCAAGCACAAGGCTCTGAGTTCAAACCCCAGTGCTACATGTATTGCAACCAGGCTCCATAAGCCTCACCAGATCTTTGGGTCTTTGTTTCCATGGCTGCTGCCAAACCAGGGAGAGGGGATGTCAGATGGGTTATCAAAAACACCATAGTGCTTTCTTAACAAAATTTAGTAGACTTCGTCTCCATTAAAAACACTCCCGTGGTTACTCTAAGTTTTTAAAATTAGGTTTCAAAGTTCTGATGAGTTTGAGTCTTAGAGCCTCAAATCCACCATTTTCACTCTCCCCAGAGGCTTTTTATTGGAGGAGGGGTTTGGAAATTGACCAGCTAATTGAGAAAGTGGTGTGGAAATACCAGGCACCCAAGAATAGCCTGGAAGTGTCTTCTTGAAGGAGAATGAGAAGACCGGAGAAATTCTCTATCAGATAGGACTTGTTATAAAGCTGTAATAGTGAAGACCAGATAGAAAAACTACTTGGTGTAACAGTCGAGAACTCACACAGACCAGCATGTCGGTGATCACGTGATTTGTTATAGCACACCCAATGCCAAATTTTTATTCTTTTTCCCCCAACTTGATTGTGATAAAATACACGTAACGCACACTTTACCATCTTAACCCATTTTTAAGTATACAGTTCAGTCATGATGTCGTGCAACCATCGCCATCATCTATAAATCTTTTCCTCTTATAAAACAGAGTGAACGAACGAATTTCTACCTCAAAGCATGTTACACGGTTCTATTTGTATGCAGCTCAAAAATAAAAATCTGAAGTATGATGTTAGAATTCAAAATTGCATTTGCTTTGTAAAGAAGGGATTGGCGGTGCTTTCAAGGCATGGGAAGGGGGTCTTGAGGATGAAGACCTTAGCTACATATTCACGCGTTATGCACCTTCAGCCCGTGGCTCATTTGGATGTAGGTGTATTTGTGGGCTTTGCCTTCTGTTCCATCAATCTGTCTGTTTGCTTACTGCTGCTTAACAGTGATTTTGAAGTTAGGCAGTGTCAGTCTTTTGAGCTTGCTGTTCTCCATCACTGCCATTGTGGCTAGTCTAGGTTTCTTGTATTTCTACATAATGTTTATAATCAGTTTGTTCATATACACAAAACAAGTGGGAAGAACGGGTACCATGATAATATTGGGTCTTCTTATCCAGGTACTGGGAATATCTTCTCATTCATTTAATCATCATTTATTTCCCTCGTCATCATTTTGTAGTTTTCCTCATATTTATATTAATACATTTATATTTATGTCTAAGTATTTGTTTCATTTACTCCTAAGCATTTCACTTTTGGGGGTGCTATCCTGAGTAACATTCTTTTTATTTCAAATTCCAGTTGTTCATTGCCAGACTATAAGAAAGCTACTGGCTTTTGTATGTTAACCTTGTATGTTCCGACAGTTATAGTTCCCTTATTAGTTCCAGCGTTTCTGTTCTGAGTTATTGGTATTTTTTTTATATAAACTATTACACAATCTGTGAACAAAGACTTATTTTTCCTTCTCAGTTTGCATACCTTTCCCTTTCTTGTATTATTGTTGTGTTATCTTGTATTATTATTATTGTATTAGCTAGAACTTCCAGTGTGACATTCAATAAAACAGTAAAGGGATATCTGTGCCCCTGTTCCTGATGTTAGCAAGAAAGCATTCGGTTTCTTACCATTAAGTGAGCTCGTCTGTATTTTTCTTGTGGGTGTTTTTGTGGCGTAAAGGAAGTTTCCCTCCATTCCAGTTTGCATTCACTACTATGAGTGGGTGTTGAATTTTGTCAAATGCTTTTTGGTATCTAGTGTGCAATCATGTGATTCTTTTCTTTACACTGTTTGTAATGTAGTAAGGGTTTTCATATCTGGAATAAATTCCACTTGATCATGGTATATAATTATTTTATAAAGTATTTGATTTGCTAATAGATTTTTAAGTTTAAGTATCTGTGCTCAGGAGAGAGATGGTTTGTAGTTTTCCTTAATTGTAATGCCCTGTGTCTGCTTTTGGTATTAAGGGTAACGCTAGCCTCAGAAAATGTTAGAGAGTACACTTTGCTTCTGTTTTCAGAAGAAATCATACATAATTAGTATAACTTCTTCCTTAAATGTTTGGAATTTGCCAGTGAACTTGCCTGGGCCTGCTGCTGTCTACCGTGGAAGATTTCAATTATTAATCCAATTTCTTTAGTAGAGATGGGCCCATTCAGTTCATCCACTTTTCCTCATGTGAATTTTGGTAGCTTGTGTCTGTCAAGGATTTCATCTAGGGTATTGAATTTGTGGATATGGAGATGTTCATAAAGTTGGCTCATCCTTTTAACGTCCATGGAATCAGTAAAGGTTTCTCTATTTATACTTATGATATTAGTAGTTTGTTCTTGTTCTTGTCTTAGTTTCTCTGACCAGGAACTTATCAATTATATTATCTTTTTAAACCAGCTTTTTACTTCTTTGGTTTTTTTTTTTTCTCTTATCAATTTCTTTTTTTTTTTTTTTTTTTTTGGCAGTACTGGGGTTTGAACTCAGGGCCTCACACTTGCTAGGCAGGTGCTCTACAATTTGAGCCACTCCACCTGCCTTTTTTTTGTGAGGGTGTTTTTTTCAAGATAGGGTCTCATGAACTATTTGCCCCTGCTGGCTTTGAACTGTGATCCTCCTGATCTCTGCCTCCTGAGTAGCAAGGATTATGGGCGTGAGCCTCTGGCCCCTAGCCTTCAATTTATTATTCCTGATTTCTGCACTAATTTTTATTTCCTCTTGCTTACTTTGGCTTTAATTTTGTTTTTAGATCCTTTAGGTGGAAACTTAGATTGTTGGTGTCAGATACTTCTTGTTTTGTAACATATGCATTTAATGCTATAAATTTTCCCCTAACCCCTGTTTTTGCTGCATCTCACAAATTTTGATACATTGTATTTTCATTTGGTTCAAAATATTTTAGTTTGTCGGGCATAGATAGCCAACACCTGTGATCCTAGCTACTCAGGAGGCAGAGATCAGGAGGATCACAGTTCAAAGCCAGCCTGGGCAAACAGTTTGTGAGACCCTGTCTCAAATACCTAACACAAAAAGGGCTGGTGGAGTGGCGCAAGGTGTAGGCTCTGAGTTCAAGCCTCAGTGCCATAAAAGCAAACAAACAAAAACAAAAAGCAAACAACATCAACAAAACAACACATTCGGTGGAGGAAAGGTAGCTCTTCAACAAATGTTGCTGGGAAAACTGGGTATCTGCCTGTGGAAAACTGAAACTAGATCCATGTCTTTCACTCTGTTTAAGTATCAACTCAAAATGGATCAAGGACCTTAATGTAAGACCTGAAACTTTGAAAGTAGTGCAGAAAAGACCAGGGAATACACAGGAAGTAACATGCATAAGCAAGGACTTCCTCAATAGAACTCAAATGGCTCAGCAACTAAGAGAAAGGACTGACAAATGGGACTACATGAAATTTAAAAGTTTCTGCACAACAAATTGAAAAGGCAGCCCATAGAATGGGAGAAAATCTTTGCCAGCTATACGTCTGACAAGGCATTAATAGCTAGAATATACAGAGAGCTCAAAAATTAAACTCCCAAAGAATCAATGATCCAATGAAGAAATGGGCAAATGAACTGAACAGGGATTTGTCAAAGAAAGAAACACAAATTGCCAAAAAGCACATGAAGAAATGCTCACCATCCCTGGCCATAAAAGAAATGCAAATCAAAACCACATTAAGATTCCACCTCACTCCTATTAGAGTGGATGCCATTAAGAACACAAATGACAACAAATGTTGGTGAGGATGTGGGGAAAAATGAGCCCTCATACACTGCTGGTGGGGATGTAAGCTAGTACAACCACTATGGAAGATAGTATGGAGGCTCCTCAAAAAACTAAATATATAACTGCCATATGATCCACCAAACCATTCATAGGGATATACCCAAAGGAATGTAAGTCAGGATACAACAGACACACTTGCACACCCATGTTTATTGTAGCATTATTCACAATAGCCAAGTTATGGAAACAATCCGGAATGCCCTACGACTGATGAATGGATTTAGAAAATGTGTTGTGTGTATATACTGTGTATATACACACGCATATACACAGTGGAATTTTATTCATCCATAAGGAAGAATGAAACCATGTGGTTTGAAGGTAAATGAATGCAATTGGAGAGCATTACGTTGTTAAGTGAAGCACACTAGGCTTGGAAAGACAGAGGCCATGTGTTTTCCCTCATATCCGGGAGACGACACAATACAAATACAAGCAATATTATGAAAAACAGGTCACGCTAATGGGAGAGGGAGGGTAAAAGAAAGAAGTTAAGAAGGTGAATATGGTTGATATACTTCTTATACAAAAATGAATATAGAATTTTTAAACTAGTTGAAATCACCACAAGAAGGAGAGCTAAGGTAGAGAGGAGAAAAACAGAGGGGACGAACCAATTTGGGTTATAATACATATATACATGGAAATGTCACAATGAAACTCCTTGTATAGCTATCTTAAACAAACCAAAAAGTCTTTTTTTCAAAAATGGAGAACAGGAAGGTTAAAAACAGGTCCTGTTGGTGCCAGTGGAAGAGGGGAGGATATAAGGAAAGGGTGTAGGAGGGTGAATATGGTGGAATATTATGTACTCATGTGTGAAAATGGGAAGATGACACCTGTTGAAGCTGTTCCAGGAATG